TACATCGTGTATATACCTTCCGCGCTTTTATGTACATCTCTTCCTCGCCGCTTCGTTCGCAAAGCGTGAGTACACGCGACTCCGCGGGAAAGGATCATCATGACAAACCGCATGCGTGAAACAACAGCCGACAAATAAATTAGACCGTTAAGGATCGAGGAGAAGGAAGCGATAAGATGCCGATAACACAGCCGCTAAGACGGTAAAACTACAACTGGCATTAACTGGAGTCTTAATACGTGAGATGAATTGACACGAATATGCACATCTCGAGCTTATCAATCATGAGTAGTAAGACATTCAGATCTATCTGGACGCTAGAAAGGACGAAGAAAGGGTGAGCCGACATGCATGCTCTTATGAGTGCGCTACAAGAGAGTTCTCGATTACATTTTTGAGAAAATAGTCTCGCGATTTCACAGATTCGAGTTCTTCCGCATGCTCGCATTTATAATTACTGCCCGACGTAAGAGAGAACTTGAGCTCGAAATAAATTCCATGTATCGTCCCGGATTAATTCACGCCCCTGTGCTCATGGCTTTCTCTCTCTCTCTCTCTCTCTCTCTCTCTCTCCCTCTCTCTCTCTCTCTCCTCTCTTTCTCTCTTTCTCGAGAGAGGGTGCGCAGAAAATATAACAACGTCCTACGTTATTTGCTTTACAATCACACATATGATCCACGGTAGATCGATTCGTCGGGATTGCACGATCGCTCGCGCATCGCTTTACGCAAAAGTGGAATCGTCCGGTATGCGGAGTTGTCTGCGAGACGAAATATATAATCCACGTTACAGAAATGCGTGCGGTTCTAAGTCGCAAGGAGAGTTACAACGATTACCAAGTAGCTTAAGACATTACTTATTCTGTAACCTACCGCTTCTCCGCAGTCGCTATTACATCCGTCGGAAGTCTCTCTCTCTCTCTCTCTCTCTCTCTCTACGTCTGCGTTCCGAATAAATAAAAAAACACGTCATGTAAACATCGAAAACGTACTCGCGATCGTCGCGAATACCCATGCGAAACAAATATCCGTACCGCGCGATATTAAATTCAGATTATATGTCAAACTAGTGCTCGGAATTATTTTTCAGACAATTTTCGGAAATTCTTCCCCTCCCCCTTATTTCTCTTTACCGCACCTGCACGCCCGCTGGCCATAAGTCTGACAGTCAGATCCGTTGACATCATAAGTGCTGACTAATAACTGTAATTATTAAGCTATTAATAGCTATTAATAGCTGAATTAATAGCTAATTTTACAGCTATTGGTAAGTGTTTTTTAAGTGTTATGATGTCAGCGGTCCTGAAGCGGGGAGCACGACTGTCATCTATGGCCAGCTGGCGTGCGAGTACAGTAAAGGAGAGGTAAGGGGAAATAAATGAAAGAAAATTCTCGAAAATCCTCTGGAAGGTAAAGTAATTCCGAGCATTACGGTTAGACTGTTTGTTTCGTGCTGCTTGCATCGCCGAGTATTCGTTAGCGATATTCGTTATGTATTCAGAACAAGACATGATAAAGCCGATAGAGTTGTGGAAAACCGTTCGTGGCTTTAAGAAACTTCTTATACGACGATGAGCTGATTCATCGTCGTTATATTGAAATATTGTTCTCCAGCGCGCAGATGGACACTCGTTTATAGTAGATCTTATGCTTTGTAACAAAATAACGTCAAAGAATTTATATATATATATATATGTGTGTGTGTGTGTATATATATACACATAAATATATATATAAGAATTTATACATACATACAAACATATACATACATACAAACATACATGCATACATACATACATACTTACATACATACGTATATATATATATATATATATATATATATATATAAAACGTCAAAGAGAAAGTTAACATAGAGCATATACAAGTGTGTGTGTGTGTAATAATTATATCTTCTCTGAATTAAATTTTTCTCTTCTCAGTCTCTTTTTCTCTTATTATCCACTCTTCAAAAGAATGTACAAATTCTTTTTTCAATAACGAAACCAGTGATCAAATTTTTGGCGTTACATCGAGCTGATACTATCGGGAAAATTGCGATTGATCAGCAGCTGAGGAATCGTACATTTTATATAATTTGTAGATATATTTTAGACGAAGGGTTTGATGGATTAAATGGGAAACGCGAAAGGCGATCGAACGATATCTCGCGCGGGATGCAATTCCCTTGCATCTCCCGCACGAATATTCACCTCGAAAAATTACTCAAAGCACGTAGAAAGAGTAATCTGGGGAATGTTCTCTTCAATTATACCAACACAAATATAAAACTACATATTTTCATCACGAGCGTTATACTGGCCCAAGGAAGTGTTTCGATGGTTTTACGTAGTTTATAAATATGTTACGATTCTTTCGAATATTTCTTTTCATGTATATCGTACGCCATTAATTAATATCACCATAAAAATTACACGTTACGGGCAATCAATACATTCAAACAGAGCTCTGCGAGATCTTCATTCGCGAATTATCCCCGACAAGAATAATTAAAAAAAATTTCGAAGAATGACACTCAAGAAAAACACTCCATCTCGACAAGCATGTAGCAACGTTTTAAAAGATTTTCACAAATCATAAAATCTTTATCTTTATTCGCAATAGATATGTCTTTATAAAATGGTCATCTAGAACAGAACTCATGATCTGTATTCACGACTATACGTACGTATCATATTGATTATTACTCTAAAAGTAGTATTAGCACGTAGTAAAAATACCGTGAGTCGAAAGTGTCTCATTAATATCGCATTAATAAGGATATTAAAAACCATAATATAGATATATATATTTTTTTCGTAGATCTAAAAGTAAAACTATATAATCATAGGTTCCGTACAAAATGTGCAATGTAGGCACACAGACTGACGTAAGAATGTTACTGACCCTTAAGAAAATAAAGATCAGTAAAAATGCAGTATTCGGAGCAACGCTCGGTCGTCGGACGCAATCTACGAGGTCCACTTTAAACATAAAGAGGATTATATTTAACGTGACTCTTGCAATTTATTTCGATCTTAATCGCTCTCCTCCGAATGCCCGAAGTACCGATTGGAACGTAATTGCACGTTTTATTCTCGATATAGTGTACTTAAGTCTACGGGACGAGCTTTTGTTTAAACATTCTGTTACCAATCACAATGTAACATTGAAAAATAAAACTATATCGTAAGCGATAAAACTTATATCGTATATATAGAATCATTAATTTTTGATATGATGCAAATTTGGCATAAGTGTGTGTGTGTTTATACAACAAAAGTGCTATAATCACGTCGTACATAATACTATACCCTGTGTGAAAATCATAATAATTCGAGCAATAATATCCGTGAGAGACACAGACATAAGATATACGATAAACGACCACGCTTTCCTACACGCGACTACTGAAAAAAAGATGGACGTAGAAGCGAACGTTTTAATTGAGTGATAAACTAAGTAGCCAATGCAACGACACGTGTTGTATCATCGACACGCAACATTTGTTTTACGCAGGATATACACCTACCGTCAACATTTATTTATACATTGTCAATGATGTAGACCGAGTTCTTTATATATCTACTCAACCTTTTATGCCGCGAAAGGTCAGAGTTATTTTCTGTGTACATGAATTTAGCAAAACGCGCGTAAAGTCCATCTCGGCGCGACTGCAGAGTTTATATTTCCGTGTATATGCTGAATTTCTGAGTCGACAACGCGCGGGCAAGAATCGATCTCACATGTCATCTTCCGATCAGACTCCGCGTGAACAATTTTCAGCAGTATATCAATGATATATATCATAACAAAATCAAATCTATATAACTGTTATCCATATAAATATAAATAATATAATATACAATATATATATATATATATATATGCATATATACATATACACACATATACACACACATATATATGTGCATATGTACACATATCTATATGTATATGTGTGTGTGTATGTATACACACACATAACACACACACACACACACACACACACACACATATGTCAACTGTTATAAATAATAATATAATTCCTATTCATGATATACATATATTCGCATTTCTCTTTTCGTTTCTTACATGTTACCATGATAAATAGCTTACTATTAAAGTCATCATTTAAACAATACGCCAAAACATTCCCGCGTGAGAATAACAAATCGAAGAGTGATATCTTCCAACGTTCGTCATATCGATAATGTACGATGGTGGATCAACATTTCTTTTCTTTTTCTTATCGAATAAGAAATTGTCATTTAAATCTCCGTCTCACCCGATCATCCCTTTAGCGATCGAACAACGTAATAAAATCTCGAAATACGCCCCCCTCAATCTGCCGTTTCCAAAGATTTTTCCCTCATAGGTCGTGTTATTCGCTGTAATTGACACTGTCAGACGCGTTTTGAATTTTACCCTCCTCCGTGTCGACTGCGTTTCACATCCAAACACCGTTAAGATACACAATACGTCTCTCTCGCTTCCGTGGATCACTGACAACGTTTTGGCACACAAAGAAAATAAATAGGTATCTATCTCTCGTCCCGCGCGAGTATAACTCTGTATAGGCCGTATGATCATTCCTCATTTCCAGAGGAGCTTACTACTTTACGGGGAGAACGTCTCAGAAGTGAGGCAAAAGGTGATAATGACGGTGAAGATGATGAACGCTACGCTAAAAAATAGGTCCGCGTATGTAATCTCTATATTGTCTATTCGTCCTATTCGTCCGCTATCGCGACTCTACAGGATGACATATGATGACGCGAAGGGCAATAGTATATATGTGAAAAATGACGGTTGTACTTTCAACGAGTTGCCAATGAAACCGACGTGAATTGGCGCGATCGAAGGATGTGTGTGTGTGTGTGTGTGAGCGTATCTTAACAAATATTTTAGTTCCTCTCTTTTCTTTTACGTTTTCTAGCATAGCAGAGTACCTTTGTACTTACTCCCTGTGCGTACATAATACTTGTCGTTTAAGAAATTTCGTATCGTCACTGCCTACAGCTGCAAGTGGACGCGATACGTGCAATTTTGGTTTCAATCGGGACCCACGAGGGGTTACCCCCTTCGACGGTGCGCGAGAAACCGCCACCTCCGAAGAGCCCGTGCTTCAACGATGCGGTTAAGAACATTAACTAAGGGTGAATTATACTTTTTTTCTTTTTTGGCATTTGTGTATAACTCTTATCGTAGACTAATTTTATACTGACTAGAGGCATTGATACGTTTGAATTTGGCATGAAGCATATAAGTGAAATTCATGAACAGCATCTTTCGCGTCTCTTTCTCTCTCTCTCTCTCTCTCTCTCTCTTTCTCTTCTCTTTTTTTACGGAAAGAAGACTCGAAGCGATCTTACTACAAAACACAGAGTGTGAGGGAAGGGAGACGTATCTTCGTATTTGTCCTCAAAATACTACGAAATATACATATATACTCTTATAGCTGCCACGTCTCCTTCCTTTTTGTTTTTTATTTTTTTTTACGTTTTTTTTTCTTTCTCTAGAGAAATTTTGATGACGCTTACTTCTCCGAGACCGGAGACGGGTCTCGTTTTCGTTCATCGTCGTTTCTCTTCGTTAAAATTTGGCCGTGCTGTGTAAATCGGTTCAACGTTAACACCTCGACCAGAACGACCGCGATTCACGAATTGTTGCCGTAGCGAAGAAAACAATTAACAATTTCCCTACGTCAGATCACAAATAATTGGATATTATCTCTAAACCACGGTACGCACTAGCGATCTTCATTGCGATATCTACAATGCTGTAGATAGGAACAAACGAAGAACCGCAGGTCTACGGCAATGGTATCTATAGTGCTGTAGAAAGTTTGTACAACGTGGCAATATTGTGATTGATGATAACAAGTATGTAAAGTGATAATTTTGCACGAAGTAACATTATTGTACCGCGACAAAATGTACGGTGTCGCGCGATAAACGAAGCGATAAACGAATCTCTCTCTCTCTCTCTCTCTCTTGTTTCCTATTTTCCTCTCGCACACTTTCACGCACAGTGCTAAGTAAATAATATCGGATGCCATTAATACAAGTGCAATATAGTGCAATACGTACACATACGCTTTATAATCCCTACAATCTCTCACTACGACACATATTAGTGAAAAATTCTCGCAGCGTACGCTTCCACGTGAAAAATCGGCGTCTGTGAATCTCGCATACATCATACACATTATTCCGATCAGTCGTGTTCCCAATCGAGTGCTGTCGATCAGCCCGAAAAAAAAGAAAAAAAGAAAAATACAACTCTCGTGCGTGTCTCTCGTGCTGATCCTGTCGTTAAAATTAAACATGTAGGCTCTCTGTATAAATAAAGCACGTTAACGTGCGCGTATATCACTCGCGCCGTGTTAAGATCAATCGTCAAAAGAAACTGCGAAAATGCGAGAGATGAACACGTCAGACACGCGGTGTGTGAAATAGAGTGAGAAAACGAAGGCCGGGATCGGCGGGTAGGATATTCCAAGAGGAATGCAAGCAAACTCTTTTAACCCTGCTCTCGTCTGATAAACGCCGCCACTTCAGCAGACGGACGGCGAACAATTTCCCCGTCGCACGCCCGCATTCTGCGGCATCTGCCGCACAAAGAGGCGATAAAAATAGCGAGACCGCCATAATGCAGCGCGCATCCCTCCGTTACATGTAACATCCCTCCAGTCAGTCGTTCGAGACGTAACGGCGATAAGAATGACCAACTCACTCAGAACACCAACGTCCGAGGGGGGGGGGGGGACAAAGAGACGTCGCCCTGACGCCTTCCCCGCGAGTCTCGAACTTTCCCCAAGAAAGACCGTTTTTCCAAATGCGCGCGCACATTCAAACGTTCATGGCATAGTACACGGTGTTCGGCGCGCTGTTGGTCGGGGTCGACATGAAACCGCCGTTAGGGTCGACGTAAGTGTTGGACATCAGCAACACGTGCGGGGTCGAGGTGGCCGGGGTCCCGGACTGCTGGAAGTCCCGGGAGGGTATGCTGGCCGCTCCCTCGGGCGCGCCGCGTTCCGTCAACGCGCACGTGGCGTTGACGGCACGCGGCAGTTGCATCACCGTCGCCGAGGATATGACCGTCGACGACGGCGCCGAGCACGCGAGCGGCGTGACGTTACCGGACGCGGGCTGAACGCCGTTGTTCGTGCTGATGCCGAAGGACGTGCCCACGCTCGGCTCGCAGCCCTTGCTATTGGGTAACATCCCGGTACACTTGAGAGAAGTGGCAGTGGCGGTGGCGGACGAGGACGAGGACGACGACAGTGCCGACGCCGACGTCGAGGACGATGACGAAGACGACGAGGAAGAGGACGACGAAGAGGACGACGAGAAGGACGAGGCAGCCGCGACGGAGATGGTCTGCGTCTGCATATCTGTGGCGGCGGCGGCGGCGGCAGCGGCGGCGGCGGCGGTTGCGGTGGGCGCACTGCTGCGTCCCACGTGAGTCTGATACAACGGATAACCGTCCTGATTGTTCGCCGGCATACACCTGGAGGGCGCGATCACCGTGTAAGAGGGCGGCGACTGCTGCGTCGCCATGGGCACACGGTACGACGTCATCTCGTGGTGATGCTGATGCTGATGCTGATGCTGGTGCTGGTGCTGATGTTGATGTTGGTGATGATGGAACTGCATGGCATGCGGCATGGCTCCTGAATGCGGCACCGGCGAAAATGCGATGTTGGACGATCGGAAGTCCTCGGGCTGGTGAGGATGTATGTGCAGGTGTAAGGCTTGCTGGCTGCTCTGCAACGGCAACGAATTAGGGCTCGACACAGCGAGCGACGACGGCGGCGGCGGCGGCGGCGGAGGCGGGATGGGCGGCGACGTGTTCAGATTCGAATGGGACGTGGCGGAGCGATTCGCGGCGCTGTAATAGAGCGCCTGTTGCTGGCTGGTCTTGCCCAGACGGGGATACGGGTAGCGCTCGATGTGGCTGGCGTAGTTGGGCGAGGAGTGCGGCGGCAGGATACGCTGTATGTTCTGATACGTGGGGTCCGACATGCCGCTGTACGGCACGAAGTACATGGTGCGGTAGCACTTAGTGTTGACCGGCACTGCTCCACTCGGCAGCACGTTGCAGTGGTAGTTGGCGATCGTCACCGCCGGGTTGCGGCGCTGCATCTTCGACAAGGTGTTGGTGTAGATCGCGCCGGCGAGGTCGTCGCTGCCGCCGCCGCCGGCGATACGCAGCATCCGCGTGCTGGTCAGCTGTTGTTGCTCCTGATAATAGTGATGACCGTTCCTGTGCTCGGCGTACAGGTGCGCGGCCGAGCCGCCGTCGTTGGACGGTGTTCTGACGAATTGCCGCGGTGGGATCGCCGCGTTGTCCAGATAGGTCGCGTGCTCGGAGATACCTTGCTGCACGTTCGCCGTCACCGCTGTGCTCTCCGCGATAGTCTGGTATATATCGTCGATCTGCCGCTGCATCGTATTTATCCGATTGATCGTGTTCGTGTCCCTCTCGAAGTTACCCATCGAGGCGTACGTCTCCACGGGGATGGAGATCGTCTCGTCCCCCTCGCCGATCGGCAACAGGGATTTGGCGTCGATCTTGTCGCCGTTGATGTCGCAGTACACCGGCCATATCGACTGCGAGCTGGACCTCGCTTCGTGGAAATTGTTGTTGGGCGCTCCAGCGCATGGTCGCAACCGATGAGCAACGGCGCTCTCGTTGACCGTTTCGTACTGTTGCTTGATCCCCGTGACCGAAGGTCGCCGGTTGAACCCGTAATCGTTCAGCTCGTCGTCCTCGTCGTCCTCCTCTTCGTCCGGCTGAACGTCGTTGTTCTTCACGCCCTTACCGTCGTAGCTCTCGTTGGTCGTGTTCACCGCCTTGTCCTCGGAATGGTAACCGTTGATGAACGAATAACGCTCCTCTGTCGTGTCGTTGTAACGCCGCTTGATCCGCTCCATCCTCGATTTGTCCTGCTCCACGAACGCCAGCAACTCGTCGGCCGTGCTGTCGCCGATGTCGGGTCTGCTACCTATCGGTGTGCATTTCGTCACGTCCGGTTGTTGACCGGCGTACTTTCGGTCCTCGCCGTTTAACGCAGCCTCTATGTCCTCCAAGCTGTAGGACGAGTCAGAGTTGTAACTGATGGACTCGCGGTTCGAGGACGCCAGTATCCTGGACTCGCTGCGGTAGTAGTCGTCCTGGTTGTCAGCGTTGCTAATGGCGACGCAAGAGAGCGGCGCAAGGCTGGCCAACAGCTGCCTCCGCACGTCCGAGTTCATCTTCGTCAACGGGTTCTTCGGCTGGCACTCCTTGGCGAGGATGTTCCTGCCGCCGGGCCCGATGCCGAGGTCCGGCAGGTTCGGCTGGACGTTCTTTTTATGCGCGAACAAATCCGTGATCTTTCTGTAGGTGGACTGATTCGGCGGGTTGTCCGTCACCAGCATCGGCATGCCCATCGCGTGCATGGTCGCGGACGACGTCATCGTACTCGCCGCCGGCGTGGTGGTGACCGTGGTCGTCGCCGTCAGAGAGCCCGATCTCGCCGACACCATCGTCAGAGTGGCAGTGCTTTCTGTCGAGACCATATTCGCCGACGACAACATCTCACCCATAGGCCGTTCCTCGCCCAACGGTGACGTCCGTATCGGCAGATCGCCCCCGTGGGCGTACTTGGCGTCGCTCGCGGTGGAGTTGGCATTATCGGAGCTGTTGTCGGTCGTGTCTACGTTCTCGTCCTCTTGATCGACGCACGTCAACTGCCTGATCCGCTCCTCCAGCGAGAGATTCTTCGGCCGCAGATTCTTCTTGCGCGATATCGTGTTGTACTTGCCGATCAGGCTACGTCGCAGCGTGTTACGCTCGATCGATCTCTTGATCGAGCTGGACTCGCATTCCGGCGACTCGTAGGAGCCGCCGGGGATCGCCGACTTCTTCACCGCGTCGAACAGCTTTAAGCTCTCGGCGGTAATCAGAAACTTCTGCGTCTCGTCGCGCGCGTCCTGAGAATGTTCCGGGCAAGTTGCCGAGGTCGCTTTATTGGCCGGCGCCGGCGGTGGTGAAATGAACTTCGGGTTAGGAAAAAGTTGTCTCACTGCGGAATTCGGCTTCAGACTGTTAGTGGCGAGGGACACGTTGCCGAGCTTGAACACGAGGGACAGCTCTTTCGCGTCCTGCTCACTTCGCGGCGGTTGCTGTTGCTGCTGCTGCTGCCGCTGCTGCTCACCCGGCGCCGTTGTTTGATCACTGATGCGTTCCGCTTCTTCCGTCAGCTCCCTTTTGTCGTTCGCCGGATTTTTGGCGTTCGCGTCAGCGTCACGATCCTCTGTGACGTCCGGCTCGTTACATCGCACTGCGCTCAACTGCGCCGCATTCTCGTGAACGAGCGTTGTCGGGCCGCTCGTCGGCGGACAAAGCGCCGGATTAAAACCGTTATCCTTCGGGACGTCGCAAGTATTCTTCTCTTTATCCGTATCGGATCGCCCGAAGCAATCCTTCCGCTCCTCGCTAATTTCCCGCACGATACGCCGCTCCGTCACAGTTGTCATCGTTATTGTCTCCACGAGATAACGATGATGCAGATCTGTAAACAAGATTACCGTATACGCCTGAGTCGAGCGAGGGAAATCGAGGCGCCGTTCTCACGAACGTAATCAGACTTTCATCACTGACATTCCCGCTGCGAGTACGCGGGCCAACATCACTCCCCGCAAGCGAGTTGTCTTTAAGTTTCATAATATTTCCCGAAGAGCGACCGAGTGAATCGAGCTGATGTTACTAAAATAAACGGTGTTTGGCGCGGCCGTATGTAACAAATAAGATTGTTGCGGGATACTTTGCACAAATAAGTTTTTGCGAAAGCGCTTCAAGTTTTTTTAAGTGGTTTCTACGGGGAAAACTATACCAGGAAGAGACGCCCGGTGCTGCTTGTCCAATCTTTCCTGCAAGTTTCTTTGGCAACCGTCTTGCACGGTATCCCTGCTATCCTGTACGTTCTGCTCACTTCCATGATCCTGCGTTTGGATTTCGCACTCTGAAACACAACAGGTGAGATTGGACACTCCCGATTCCTTCATTCATACATTTCCGTATGCTTTGAGTGAGTGAATATTCGGAGCGCAAAGTGTCTCAGTCATGAAACATCTATTTCTACGTTCCAGCAGCGGTGGCGATTGTTTATTAACACCAGAACCACCGATGATTATTAACACGCGACCGATTCCTACCGGAGCGTTCGACATGACCGGTTCTTGGGGAAAAGAACGTCGTGCAAGAGCACAGACACGTTTATTCATCTTCATTAATTTCATTTAAGATATAAAATAAATATAAAAAGATTTTAAAATATAAATTATTGTATTTGTATTGTTATGTTATAAAAACATTCTAAAAACTCGAATAACTCTTTCCAACCATTACAAACAGGCCGTTCTTGACCGCTCTGTCACCGTTTCTATCACCGTTGACAAGACGACTTTGCATCCGGATTGCAAAATATTTGGGCGTATGTATTTGTCGTCACGATCGTCGAGACAAGGTAATTCCAAAAATACACAAAAATCCACTCACTGATAATCTTCGGGTGATACGTGATTTTCGCGGAATTCTTCGCACCACAAGCGAGATCTGCCATTTTAACGATCATGAGAAATGAAATCGAAGCGTCCGGCGCAGTTGTCATTTCTGCACTGCGGTATCTCGTTAGGAGTTTAAAACGGTAAGGAGATAGAATTTTATCTGTTATCAGGAACAGTGTATATCACGGTGACGTCTCGATAGGGAGATACGCGAGCGAGATACGTATATATAGATCGCGTCGGTAATCGTGTATCTTCGCTCGTGGCGCAAAATTTAAAAATCTCTCGACGAAGACATTTTTTGCTCTTGGGAAAGACTTCATCGCGAGTGCCGTCGCGCCCGGCGGCGGTATCTTCTGCATGCCGCACTCGTGCATTCGTGTGAGCTTTGAACTAAAGTTCCCCGCCGAAGCGATAAATGGAAATTACACGATCGTCCGATATCACGACTCACACTCCCGAAAGCGCTTACGCGCGGCCTCTCTAAGTCAAAATGAATTTGACGTGCTTGGCCTAATATTGATCGCACCAAGTCTATACATAATAAACATTTACGTTTGTTAGCAAGTAGGGCAACGGGCGATGCGATATGATAATATTACCTAGAACGCACCGACCGTGTGAAACTTTTTCTCGATCACCTCGAGAGCTCTTGGTATAAACGGATGAAAAAGCATGTTGCAAAGCATATGGATTACGTGCATTTTCCCGATAGCTCGAGGTCAACCACGCATAACTCGCGACGAACAATTGATTCTCTCTCGTCGAATTAAACTCTACATTTAATTTTTTATTGAATTATACGATACCGTAAGACGCCGTGCGACATCTGCACCGCAAAAAAAAGAAACGGACAGGGCGGAAACGAGAAGAGAAATCCTCCTCCTCCTCCTCGAGAGCCGTTCCGTTGCTACGGAATAACGGAAATTCGATGAAAAATTCCTGCTATGCCTATGAATGTTATCGAAGTCAAAGAGGACGAGCTCTGGTCGTTGTAACCGTTCGTTTGCCCGTCGTTGTAACAGTCAACTGATGGCCATCGATATTAATGCACTTTCAAAGTCGCGCCGCGTAACATCGCGCGATTGACAGCTTGCATAACTTGCGCAGTTTCTAGTCTGGCACACTCACTAATAATATACACTGACATATATATTTCCCATTGTCGTACGGTGCACCACGTCGTGGAAGGTGATCTAGCTACCTCGCATTTCTAGCGCTTAACGACTGGAATAGAGACATACTTTATTGCCGTCCCGTTGTGAGAGAACGTAAAAATTGCACGTGTTATCGGAGATAATTTACTCGGCTGTGTCTACACGCAAGTTGTGTATCTTCTAATTTCACGTAGTCTAAACAGAACAAATTAAACTCGAAATTTAGCTGTCTCTTGAAACGTACCGCACGCTTTCATACATCCTTCTTCCGTATACCTTCGCGAAACTGTATTTTTTCCGCTTCGAGTAAACAAGAGCGGGGTAATTTCATCTCACGGGAAAAATTACGGGACACTCACAGACCCACCGAGCCATCCTTGTTTTTAAACAGCAACGCGCAAAAATACGCGCGTGCTTAATGACGTTATGTATTTTGTAATTCGCTTTCTGAAATTTTATATCTCCTAACCAACGCGTCCCACCCTTAAACGCAGGAACGCAGGAGCGAACAGTTAACTCGAACGCGAGAACATCATACGTTTCGTCTTTTATTTATTTTTCTCACGCATACAGACCGCAACCTGTTGCAAATTTGAAATACGCGAAGAATGCAGTGCCAACTCTGCTGGCTCTTATGACAGGGTCGTGATTTATTAAATTTCGTGTCCGCAACGAATTTTACTCTTTGTCTACTTCTCTCCCTCTTTCTCTCTCTCTCTCTCTCTCTCTCTCTCTCTCTCTCTCTCTCTCTCTCTCTTCACACATACATGCACGATATACATGTGTAACGCTAACATCTATAACGTTCGATCTTCGGGAATGTTTGTCGTGCATTTCAGATCCTCTCGGTCGTGCTTTCAAATGTTATCTTCAATTTCTCTCTCGCTTCTTTCTCCTTTCCATTAATCTTTTTCATTTTCGCTCGTAAGCCCCGAAGATTTCGTGGACTTTAAAGTCGGAACTTACAGCGCTTCGTAGGAAAATTCAACCCTGGTTATGCTACACCGTGGCGCAAAACGCGGACCGTTCGGTTAGAAATATAAGTGTTCTTACCGAGTATCGGGGAAGTACCGGAGTTCCGCTACGCCGCGCTTCCGGTGAACGTTGATATGCGAGTAAACCTATATACATCATATCTACATACATTCGTTTTGCGTTTGTAAATCTCTAATCAAGGCTCCTAATCGATCGAATCACCATCTTTCGTTGCTCTGTTGAAAATTTAAAGCTGTTTAAATTGTTCCTGCTTCAATTATAATTTGCGTATTTGCAACATCAACGATGATCACTCCACCGATATTAAGCCGCGCTCTCTTACAAGTGGCATTATTCCTTTATTTATAATTATTTTACACGATGCGAGCGTGCCGAGGAGAAAGAGCGAAATAACGCGGAAATAATCAAGTAAAATAAACTTGAAGCTAATTCCGACGACTTTACGAGACCACCTTTGTCGCGTCTCGTGAATTTACACGCAAGGACACGCGTTTCTCGATGAAACCTCGTTGGTGTTAACGAACTTTGATATATTTCACCTCAAATTGATCGATGTACGAGCGAATCATGACTATTCATGAGAGCAGGGCCTCCCTTTGAAACATCTTTCTTGATATTCTAAAGAATGCGCATAAACATCCTTCTACGTTCTTAAACGGCTTACCAACCGTGGACTAGGCTCATGAAAAACAATACCATTATTATATGCGCATCCTGTGTGAAAGGATATCGTGGGACTGTTCCTCCTCGGTTATGCGTGAGAAAAGAGCCGTGCACAGCGATTGCAATTCTTCTAATTTGCACCTTTCCATTAAAGCTGATAGATTCAGTTCTCGATACGCAACGTCATTACTTTCATCGTACGTGCCGATAGCGTGCCGATAAAGCGTATCGATTTTAATAGCACATTGTTCTCGATCATTGAATTACAGTGCAATAAACGTTATAGATTCCTAAGTTATTCCCTTATAAACGCCTTGAAGCGTCCGTCCAACTTAATAAAAGAATACAATAATCTCATTGTTCCCCGGATGATTCTTTCGAAGAGGAGGATGTACGTGTCTATGCGTTTTATTGAACGCGCGCGCGAATTCTTTTCACGTTTCCGCGAATTGCTCGTCAACTATTAGACATCTTGTTAGACACTGTTTATTAGACACTGCTTTACATTCGGTATTCGAAAATTATGTGCTTTTTCAGATACGTGGAAGTAATTGGAATATACTATACGTATCTAGGAGAAGAAAAATATTTTCAAAAATATTATACAAAATGGCACAGCTATATATAGATGAACGCACAATGAACACGAGCCAATGAGAAACGTTTAATGAATTTCGCGATACAATGAATATATAGAGAACTGTGTATTTAAATCCGCGCGATGTTAATACGATTTTATGAAAGAGATGATACCTTTTAACTTTGTTTCACAAAAAGTGAAATAATGGAGCACTAAAGCGGCGGAATATTTTCTCGCGCGAAAAATTCAGATACAGTATTAGGAAAAGTTCTCAATTCGACAGAAATGAATGTTCGGTCTCTCAGTGGGAATAACTCGAAGGAATATAGTTTCACCGACACGAATCGAAAACATTTAAAAACTATTCTCTCTATTTTACTAACTAGCTATTTAACTAACTCAATCTTATAGCTGTTAAATTTTACTATTAAATTTTATAGCCGTTAAATTTTACTATTTCCTTTTCAGTTCCTTTTTAGTCTTGTGTTACCGAATGTAACACAACCTTAGGTCCCACCCTTAGGTCCCACATGTTACTGTATATCCCGTGTATTTATTACATAGGGGTTTCATACTCCGGTATGATGCTGACGAACAATACCGCGCCATTGAACATATTTCGACCGTCGGAAACCGTTGCTAACAATGATAGGTCGTTGCGGGGATTAATAGTTTTCGGGCTATTCACACAGAGATACCTAAACTTCTGATCCTTCGCCTGATGCCTACAAAGGCATCATTCAAAGAGGACTATATCAACTCGTTGGTCCTTCATTGGCACATACAGCAAATTTACATCTTCGCCGCCGACCTTCGTTTTTGCTATAGTAACATGTATATTTTATTTGGATGTCCCAGAAAATCGAACGGTAATCCTCGTATTCCTCACGCAAGGATACTAATCATCCCCCCTTTCATTCGTAATAATTTCCAGAATTAATCCCACGTCCCATAATTATTCAATTCGCAGTTGCTCGTCTTATTTGTTATTTCAAAAATTAGCGATATCATCGTGCGTCATATCAATGTATCGTATTGAGCAAATTTACGTTAAGTGAAATATTCCAACGGGATAATTTATAACGATGCACTTTAACGATCCAATTAAGTCGAAATGCAGTTTTACATCTATCTCCCGTTGTAATTCAACGACGGAAAGTCGTTGCGCATGTTCCCCGCGAATTAAGCGAATATTTTACACGGTTGTTACGCGGTAATAACGAACGATGCACGGATTCTCTCTCCTTCTCCGATAAACAACGCGGCGCGTATCACAAGTTTTCTAGATACGGTACTTCCTAGCGCGCGCGTTACGGTGTGTAACATCGTGTTATGCTTCGCGTTACGCACAACTATACTTATCACAGAAGTGTATAAAACTTCTTTCTTCTCCTTTCCGTCTGTCTTTCTGTAGCAACAACAAAGGGACATGCGTCCACTCGGGATTGCTTCCGCGGAATTTAACCGTCCGACATCTCGCGCATTTCATCCCGCGAACGCTCTCGACGACGACGACGACAATTGATTCGAAGCTACAACTTTCTACTAATTTCGTTAATCGCGTCACAGCCGCGTTACCAGCGGCAAAGATTTCTATCGCCGAAGTGTTCTATTGCTGAACTGACTGCTGCGCCAGTTTGCCCTCCCTCTTATCCCCCCTCCCCCCCCCCAGCAGGCAAGTCTCAGCTGTACATTCGTCTCCTTTGAAGTTCCGCGAGTGTATACCAGTTCGGGTGACGGAGAATAAACCTCTCGTCCGGTTTCTCTTATTCATCGAGAAATCGAAGGAAACGAAGCGACATCACGTCGCCGAGCTAATCGAGAAGACAACAGAATCTACAATGCAAATGCAAAAGCTCACCCTGTGCCTGTTGTTGATAATAACTGCACTCGGTGCAGGCGCCCGACGCGCGCCTGCATTGCTCCGTCTCGTTCGGGATCTCGTCGTTCGAGCACACGTCTTTGTAGCCCTCCGGCGGGCTCAGCGTTTCCTGTTGCTGCTGCTCGTGCCGCGGCGGCGGCGGCGGCGGTGGCGACGGAACCACGCTTCCGTTCTCCTCCTGGGAATCCGTCTCCTTCGGTCGACGTCCTTTCGCCACATCCTCCGCGTCCACGTTCCCTCGCTCGTTCGCGTCCTTCCCTTCCACCGACGGCGCCGCCGTTGCCGCTGTCGCTGCCGGTGCCGCCGTCGCCGCCGCCGTCGTCGTCGCCGTCGCCGCCGCCGTCGCCGCCGTCGTCACCACCCTCTCTATCTTCCCGTCGCCGTTTTTCTCTTCATCTTCCTTCTCGTTTTCTCGCTCCTCTTCCTCCTCCTCCTCCTCTTCCTCCCCGTCGTCGGCCTCCTCCTCATCCTCCTCCTCCTCCTCCTCTTCGTCTTCCTCGGAGCGTGACTCCTCGCGACCCTGCTGATTCTTTCCTCGACCACCACCGCCGCCACCGCCACCGCCACCGCCGCCGCCACCGCCGCCGCCGCCGCCGCTGCCGTTGTCGCCGCCGCGATGATCTCGCGCAGCGTTCTCGCAGATCGCTTGTTCCACCCCTCTCGCCAATTCGCCGTATCTGCCGTTGCCGGTGCCGATGCCGAAGTGCAGGTTCAACTCCGCCCGGCATTCCTTACAATTGCCCAGCCGCATGAATTCGTGCTCCTGGTAGCAGCAGTCGCAGTCCTCCTCGTAGTCGGCGCAGCACTCCTCCTTGATCAGTATTATGTAGTCGGCCGCGAAGAACTCGTTCAGCTTCTCGTTGATCACCACGCGGTGCTTCTGCGACTTCGCCTTCGTCTGGCCCGGCTTCTTCAGCAACGACTTGAGTGTCTTCGTCGGCGCCGGCTCCGCCGGATGCTTGTTTCCGTGTTCCTTCATGACTGAGGCTTCTCTCTGTTCTCCTTTCTCTTTCTCACAGTTTTTCTTCTATTTTCTCTACCCTCGCTCTTCCTTCCTTCCTTCCTCCCTCCTTTCCCCCCTCTCTCTCTCTCTCTCTCTCCCCCTCTCGCTCTCCTATTTACTTTCTCTCTTTTCCTGTGTCATTAACCACACCGACATGTCATGCGTGTCCTTTCAGCGGACTTTCCTACGCTCCTCACACAGGGTTCGCCCTGGGACGGCAATAAAGCGCTATTCTCTCTCTCTCTCTCCCCCTCTCTCTCTCTCTCTCTCTCTCTCTCGCTCTCCGTCTCGCCGTCTCTTTCTTCCATAGGCTGTTTGTGTCTCTCTCTCTCTCTCTCTCTTTCTCCCGGCCGCTCGTCCTCGCCACCACCTGTGCCACCACGGCTTCCTACCTGTCCCTCTCGCTCTCTCGCGTTCCCACGGCGGCGGCGGTACACTTTCTCGGCGCGATATCCACCTGTCTATCTGCCGCGGTAATCGTGCATCAGCCGACAACCCGGTGGTCGTCGCGGCGCGGCCATCGACGTGTTATCGCTCGCGCGCATATTCACGCACCGTCGTCGCGTTCACGTCGCACGCGCGACTCCAAGGTACACGCGAGAGCGCACGGGTTAGCCGCCAAGTGGTCCTGCGGCCGAACGCCCGCGACATCCCTCTCCCGGCGGAGGGTGATCGATGAGAGCAACACAAGTCACATGCTTCGACGACCTTCTCCCCTTCGCCGCGTAACGGTGAGCGATCTTCGACACGGTGCCGCCGCCGTCAGCGTAGTCGGTGCAGCACGTGCTCTCTCTCTCTCTCTCTCCCTCTCTCTCTCTCTCTCTCTCTCGTCGACGTGCCACGCGTTGCGTGCAACGCGAAGAAGTTAATCTGCCAAAGACCGTGCGCGTATCGATCGAGGCATGTCCGAGCTCTTCTTCTTTTCGCGAATATCGCGTCGCACGCCGATGGCAATGCTCGCTCGCGGCGGCGGCGGCGGCGACGGCGATAATGTTGCTCGCTCTCGCGCGACTCGGCCGAGTCGACGAAGAACGATGAAGAAGAGAGAATGAACAGAGACGAGCGCTCTCGTAGAAACTGATTTACCTTGATGATGGGCCTCAAGGTTAGTACGAGACGTCGTCGTCCGGGTCGCAATGTTCCATTGAGACCCGCCGACGATCGCGCGCGGCGACTCCGGGATGACGCGACGAGGCCGTGGCCGTTGAAGAGTTCGCGGCCGCGCGAGAGCAACGAATGTGGGTGCGTGGGAAATATACGCGCGCCTCGAGCACGGCAACGACAGCGGCGATGTCGCTTCACGGACGACGATTTCCGCGGCGGCGGCGGCGGCGGAGGATTCCAACGCGAGCCGCGAGTCCCCACTCGAGAGCTCGCTGCTGTCACTCGGCCCGCTCGCAATTATCCCCGAGAGGCTCTTCCTCTCGCCGAGAGTCCCCGTTTCGCACCTTTCACAAGAACGAATTATAACATGCGCGCGTAAGCGCTCGCCTCTCTCGCGACTCGCGACGTCCCCGTTTATCGATTTCGCGTGACGAATGCGAGAGACCGCCGACGACGCACGGCGACGCGACGCGACTCGACGGTCGGTCGGTCGGTCCGTCCGTCCGTCGCTGCCCGCGACTCCCGTTGCACTGGACGTCGCAACCACCCCGAGAGGCTGAGGCTACACACCGACCACTGGATCAGTCCGATCGGAAGCAACGTCGCGAGTCCATCCTCGCTGGGACGACTGCGCGCGACCGCGCTCGCACTAGCTTCCCCATCGTCGTGGACCTTCTCGTCGCCGACGCTTCCACCGCCGCCGTCGACTTCTTCGTGCTGTACACCTTGGCGTCGAGAGTCGCTGTTGCGGCGGCGGCGACGAGAGGAGATATATCGCGAGGTCGTGAGAGACACGCAACGGAAGGATCAATGAAACGGAGCAGCCTCGCTCGTTTTCCGACCGCACACGACTAGTACGGCTCCTCTCGCGAGCAACGTCCGTCAACGTACATATCACCCGTGACGCGCCGACCGAGACTGCCGCCGCCACTGCCGCTACCACCGCCGCCGTCGCCGTCGCCGCCACCATCACCTCCTCCTCTTTCTCCTTCTCCTTCACCTCCTCTTCCTCCTCTCTCCTGCTCCTTCTCCTCCTCCTCCTCCTCCTCCACCATCACCACCATCACCTCCGTGCCGATGTCGCTCATGCCCCCGCTGACCGCGCCGGCACCAACGACTTTCCATTCCAGCGACGTCGAGCGACGACGCTGTCGTTGTTAGCTATCGTGAAATCCCCCGAGTATCACTCCATACGCACTACGACGACGATGACGACGACGAAATGGGTCGAAACACCGGAGACTACGGAGAGAAAGAGAGAGAGAGAGAGAGAGAGAGAGAGAGAGAGAGAGAGAGAAAGAGAGAGAACTGCTCAGATACTTTAGCCGATCGTGCTAATTTCGTGCCCGTCTCACGTATTTCGCACTTGTCGCGTCTGTCTCTTTTTCCCTTTTCTCTTCTCTTCGCATCGCAAGTTCGCCAATACAAGCGGACTCGCGATTCAAGAATGTTCCGATGAGCGGACGACTCTCGTCTCCCGTTCGCCAAGAAGATTGACAATATTTCTCGGAGACTTCGCTTTGTGAGAATCAGCGGATATTTCGTCTCGATTTTCAAGTCTGATATATATAATCTTCGAGGGATATATATTTTTCTTTAAATAAAGAGAAGCTTGAGACTCCCTTCGTTAGAAAATCGCTCCTTTTCTCACCGATACTTCAGTGTCCCATTTGTCTGTGATGATGAACGTTGCATGTAATTAGTTACATGTTATTACGTCGCGTAATTATGTTTTACAAAACGCTTGAAGACGCAAAAGAAGACGATTACGCGTGTCTGAATTAACAAATCTGCAGAACGTCTCTTGTCCTCGCGAGCACGCGCATTCCTCCGTGTTTCAAGTACGTTACGTTGAACGAAGAATTTCTTACGTTTTGCTAGCTTACAACTTCGTAATCGTCGATAATAGGATATCGTGTTATGTAACGTTCATACGATATAACGTTCATATAATGAATCCCGTTCAGCCGTTCAGGTTTCACGGAAATTGCTTCTTGCAATTATTACATAGTCGTGAATAATTGTGCGCAGCGCGTACCTCCGATATGATATTACCGCCGCTCGCAAATTTTTCGGCCATTACTCTCGCTTTAATCATTTCACCGCTTGCATTTCTCTCGTTTACGAAAGTGACGGTTACTATTTCCTCGCTTTTCCACCAGCGGACACATGTGAGTAACGGTTGTAACAATTGTACGGATAAATTGCGGAATATCCGTGTCAGCTTGTGAATTCTGCATAAAAGATCCAGCACGCACGCTCCAATTAACTTAGTTTACGTTCTGTGGTCATCTCAATTGGATTGTGTCATCCGATAAAAAGAAAAAAGTCATACTTGCACACATGTGCAGCATGTGAGATCCTACATTAGATTATAGGATCATCCGAATTTATCGAGCCGTTACTCATGCGTCCAATAAAAATATCAAAGACGGGACTTTGTAACTATCTCCGCGATCATCGGAGACAAGACAAATCGTAAGAGTCTCAACGAATTTCCGAGACAGCATTGTCGCAACATCGGCGACACTCGATTCGTAGAATTGTGCATGGAATAGAAAATGTTCTACAACATTCTACGCACAGAATGTTGTACGCACATAAAATATACGTGTAAAAGAAACCACTGCTGAAAACGTTTCAGCGACTACAATTACAAAATAGAAAAAGGATATATATCCACTTTGAGAAAGCAATTTATTAAAAAATTCACACTACCAATTTATTGTTAAAAACATCTTACATATTAAATAGTTGAGAACTTTGCAGTTTTCTCTCTTTTTTTTCTTTTTTTTTTTTTTTTTGCGGTAATGATGTCGTAACGAGTTTTCGCTTCCTGGAGTAGTGGAATACTTTTATATGACTGTGAAACATTTCCTGCCCGATTGCGCAATTCGCCCTAAAAAATGTTACGAATTAACTTGCATCTATTATGGCAACTTTTATCGGGGATACGCATATAACTAGTGAATTGTTATATTACAAATATCTTTATTTTTATAATTCTGCAATCAAAAGTGACTCAAATATCAGTGAATACAAAAGAGAAATGTCAATTATAGTAGAAATATACAAATATTCTTCCTGGCTAATAATGCACACACGCACATACGCACGCACACATACATCATGTGATATTCCCATAAGAATTCCCTGGCACTTATCAAATATATATTAATAATTTTTACTTTTCATTTGTATATTTTATGAATAAATGTGTAGCGATGTGTAACTTTGGTACACATTGCAACCAAAATGAGCCTAATCTAATTAACTCAATTTCTTCTAGCTTTCTACTGCGTAATAAATTTCTTTTATTCCGCATCTCTCTCTCTCTCTTTCTCTTTCTTTCTCTCTGTAAAGAGTTATCCGAAAGTCAATTTTTAATAGCGAAAGTTGCGAAGAAACGTATTATTTTGCTAATCTTCCTGCTTCCTTATGAGTTTTATAAAAAATCATTAATAATTTCGATCTCTACCAAGAATGACCGAATGAATTGTTACAAATTACAATAGAATCAATAAAAATGGAAGAAAATAATAAACAAAATATATTTATTTTTTACGGACAAAATTTTTGACAAGAACCAGGGGGGTGAACATTCGGTATATTCAACAATATATTCAGATCAACCTATCTTTTCAATAGAAAAAGTTGTGTTATGTGTTGCTTCAATGTGTATTATATAACTAAATTGAAATACTTCAAATTTTTTTGATGTTTTTAATAAGATATGTAAGATATCAAGTCTTGAATAATGTTTCTACTTTCATGTTTATAATATCTACATACAAAATTTTTAATGTATTTCCATGATCTTTCTGTTTCTCATCACACTTCGAGAATATTCTCATCATATTTAAGAAAATAATATACATTTTGACAACTTATACATGAAAATAATTATATGATTTTTACGTATTATACAAGTCTACGAATCTACGAATTGTCTCACTAAATATTAGTAACGATAAAAAAGTAAGAATAATGAAATAAAACTCTTAACTAAAAAACACAACTAAATTCTTTTAATCGTCTTTTTAATCGAAGATATCATTTCTTTATGGCATATTAGCTAATATATAACCATACTTTTATCATTGATATTTGATGAACTAGACAGTCATTATCAATATCTTTTAATGTAATTACCGCAAAAACTGTGGAATTGTGTTCTATAATATTATATATGTAACTAAACCGTACACGTTACATATCACCTACAGAAATTACTAAAGAAATATTCAATTGCAACGTAAAAAACATTAAACATTAAACTAATAAAATATATTAACGTAATTTGCTTTATATTAAGAATATATTGATATGGCCATCAATTATAGAGATAAAGACTATTTCATATCTACAGATTATTGCTATATATATGCGTTGACGTTAGAAAATATTTATTATATGCCTTAAAATTTAACAATTGTCACTATGAAATTTCTCGCATGCAATGTGTATGAGAAAACTTACAGTCTTCATCACTGTAGGACTAACAGTTTTATAAAAAAGACCATACACCTCCTACAAAATGGTACACCTTCTTCTCCTAACAGGTTCTGGAGGCTCTAGAGCAGCTAATATTGCTTCGTCAAAGACATTTTTCAGTCCTTTCTAAAATATGAGAAAAAAAATTAACAGTACATCCAGCATGAAATACTTATTTTAGAGATATTAATTCATATGTTGCGCAAAAATAAAAACACTGAAAATATACTTAAAATACTGTAATTTGGAAAATATAATCTGCATATATATTTGTTGTTGCAACAAATAATCAAATGATCAATTAATATATATGTATATACAGGATCCTCCAACGAAACTTTCCATCCTGATTATTCTGCAACCAATTTATTTTTTTTTAAATGCCGATATACGTTTTAAATTGTGGATTTTCAATTTTCCGTGCCCAAAATTTCCAAATGCGATTTTTCAAAAAATATTCACTTAAATATAAAAAAATAAATATCATTGTGAAGAGAATTAAAATACTTTCAAAATGATATATCATTTAACCACTATTACTTGAGATTTTTTGGGGGTATACCCTGATGAACCATCAATACTATATACAAAATATAGCTACTCCAATAAAGGGAATAAAGTGATATCGTTAAATATATCACAATCATGGAGCCCTTTTGAAAACAATATTGACATGTATCAATATTTTTGACAAAAATCAATTGATTGCAAAAATATCGGGATAGAAAGTTGGCGGACCTTACATATCTGTGTATGTAAATGAGCTAGTGTGCAATACCTGTGTAAGAGCACTACATTCAACATATTTTACGGCTTTTAATTCCTTAGCAAGTTTCTCCCCTTGTTCTCCCGAGATTGCCTTTTGCTTATTCTTTGCAAGTTTTTCGATTGTCGCTGCATCATCTCGTAAGTCAATTTGCGTGCCGACCAATAAAAATGGCGTTTTCTGACAATGATGCGTTATTTCCGGTACCCACTAATAATACATTAAAATATCAATTCGTGTCAAATATGAAACAATCCTTGACAAATACAAGAAATGCCTAATAATTTTAATGAGGATGCTCTTAATTAATGTCATACCTTTTCTTTAACATTTTCAAACGATGATGGCGATACAACTGAGAAGCATACAAGAAATACATCAGTTTGCGGATAACTTAATGGACGCAAACGATCATAATCTTCTTGACCTGTAAAATTCCACAATTTCTAAGTAAACAAACTCTAACAATTTTACTTTGTTATTTGATAATTTAACACATATTAAATTTATTTTCTTGCAAGTAATCTTATGCATCAATAATGACATTTACCTGCAGTATCAAATAATCCTAATGTGTATGGTTCACCGCCAATCATGACGGTGACTGCATAATTATCAAACACTGTTGGAACATATTCGGATGGAAATTTGTTTGTAGTATATGAAATTAATAAGCAAGTTTTACCAACTGCGCCATCCCCTACTACAACACATTTTATTGTTTGCATTTTTAATACTGCCAGATGTCTGAAAAAAAAAATAGATAAAAATTACAAGAAACTGTTTTGAATCTATTAATGGACATTCTGTATAATATTATCAATATATTGCCAATTATATATCAATTTCATTGATTTGTTCTGTATTGATATGAGTTATAAATATAATAATATACAGTATAAGTAAAAATAATAAATTTATCGTTACTGAAACAATCTTTATTTTTATATCAAAGACAGTACTTTTAAAAATCACACATATTAAAATATGGAATAATTTCAGTAGGAATGATAGAAATATTTTATAACTTTTATATTAAAATCAAAGTAAATTAAAGCTTTTTATCTTATAGAATAAGCAATGTATATACTTTATACATATTTGTATTATTATTTTATAGTTTTTAATACTTTAAAGTATTATTATTTCAACATTCATATATTTAATAATTACTAGATATTACATATAGTTCTATAAAATTTATATGTAATTTGTAACATACATATATAATTTTATTGTAGACTTCTTTGTAACATTCACATATAATCAAGCATTTCGTGTAGATTTGAGTATATGGTTTCCTGATAAATATTAATTTTTAAATTGGAGTTAAATTCGACACAAGTATAAGATGAAGCAAATAATAAAATTTAACATCAAAGAATCAACATAATAAATATCTAATGTATTCGGGACCGAAAAAATGAATTGATGAACTAAAAATATACCAAGTTATTAGTTTGAGTATATAATTATATACTTCCTAGAATACAATGGCGAGTATATCAGTGTCGGCGAGCGCAAATCTTTCCTAAATTGTGCGAAGAATTTGATCATAAGCGCAACGAATGGTAGTAACAGATTGCACATGCAATCCTCTCGCATATGAGAATATCACCGCAAGTTATAGCTAGTATATGCCGATCAAGGAGCAAGGAATCGGCACGCGGAGAGATTGGTTATTTCGCTGATTCGACAAATCACTGGGACGTCCGAGTATCCGGCTCTTTGCCTGAGCTTTGCGTTTCGTGTTAAATCTACTGAGAAAGAAGCGTGCATCGATTGGCGAGCATCGCGCAAAGTGGTACACAAGCACACTGGAGAATTATTGTTTTTAGAGTCGCCATTTTGATCGTTTATGTCAAATGCACTGTATCGTACGGTAAAATCGTACAACCGAACACCTCGTGATACGCAAAAAGCCGATTCTCCCAAAATCTTGTGTATTAACGACAACAGGTCTTAATGCGGCCAAAAACGAAAATTTAAGTTAAACACTCACACGCAACTGGGCGTCGACACCGGACAACCGACAACGCTTTATCCTCACGAAGCTTTCGGTTTTCCTAGATGGACGTCACGCCGATAACGTGCCACAACTTAAGGCTATCTTGCATAGATTCACGCACACACAAGACCGTTTCCATAGAAGTCAATATATCAGAGGCAAAGACAGTGTAGGTTTGTTCTTTCCTGTTGCACTCTGATAAGGAAATATCTTTCAAAATATCTTTCACCAATTTCACATGGGCCTTAGATATGTGTAATTAAAGATGATATATATAAAAGTTTTTTCTCGTGAGATATGTGATGATTTGGTAGATTTAAAGAGATTAAAACAATCTTTCGAAGATAATATTAATATACCGAAAAAGATGACCGGTTAATGAATATGTTAGAAAAGCGCAAACCAACATACGATATTCAATAGAAAATTTTACAACAGTTGTGATTGTAGAATATTATGATACTAATATGATTGAAGAATAGAAACTCAAGCTGTAAAATGCTTCTCCAGCCACCTCGATGTCATGTTTGCCGAAGTTACAGCCCGTTGAATTTTATCCAATTTTCAGGAGTAGAGTAAAAGAACACATTAGAACCATTGTTGAATAATATTATTTATATAATAATATGAAAAAGAAAACTGATATGCGTCCGATCTAATTTATTGTTCCTGAGTCCCTTCCATTCGAATATAGTAGTAGTGTTCTTTTTAGCTGCACTGCGAAACTGGTGCAATAAGTTAGAATGAGACAACTATATTTTTTCTCACTTTAACTTATTGCACCAGTTCAGTAGTGCCGTTAAAAAGAACAGACCATAGGTGTGACTGCTGCTAGTAAAGAAGATAAAATTGGCAGCAGTGAAAATTACTGGTGTTGCATTTCGTTTCTCGCGTCTATGGCCGGTATTCACAGTCAGATCTTACATGTAAGACCGTCTTAAGTTTATTTTCAGATACTCCATAGCCAATGAAATGATATGTACAGCATCTGAAGATGAACTTAAGACGGTCTTAAATATAATGGAGGATTCACACTGCGTCCGATGTCCGACGTATGACGTCCGACATCCAACGGAGAATTCAATTCTCCATTGGAAAGCTGCTCTCCTATTGGATGTCGGACGTCGTACGTCGGACATCGGACGCAGTGTGAATCCTCCATAAGATCCGACTATGAATACCGGCTTATAACTACGTTTATACGGCAAAGTTAATTCAGATTAGTAACAACCGTAATTAGTGAATTCTTTGATTCGATTGGTATATTCTTTTAGATTTAAGAATATACTCTAATCGGATTCGAGACTGCACTAACTACAGTAGTTACTAATACCCGTATTCATAGGCCGCGTTCAGTAGAACAAAGTGATCAGAGAACGCTTAATGATTATTGTCTGTGATTGAAGCATTCTTTTAGATTTTTCATAGACCCAGAAGTATTTACCAATCAGGAGCGAGATTCAGTGGAAAATCTAGTAATGTTGTCCAACTGTTGAGTCTGCTGAATGCATCCATAGTCAGGCCTTATATTTGATGCCTCCTTATATCCATCTCTAGATGCTGCACGGATTATTTTATTGGCTACAGACCATCTGAAGATAAATTTAAGGAAGTCTTAAGTATAAGGCTTGACTATGAATACGGGTGATAGTCAACGGCAGAGCGCGTTACCCATTATTACTACAGCGTACGCTAATTCGTTCGATTTTTATTACTCTTAAATTATCTCCGAACCTCGTAAGATCATTTTTCCAGTATGAAAATTTACCCGGAGTTAACAGTCTTTAGTATCACCTTCGATGGCTACATTTATATTTGAAGCATGCGTATTCCCGCGTTTTTGTGAACGATACGTTTGGCAATAATATAAAGTAACAGTTTCTCATCATGAATCACTGTGAAAGTGAAATAATCGATTTACCTTTCTCAGTCTGAAACTACTTACCGCTAGTTTTATACATCTGATGGATCACATTTGTGATATATAATGTGGCATAAAATCTATACTCTTGATTACACTTTCTGCATTTCGTCATTTCTCTCTTACTCCCGCGATATAAGTAATTATCTATCTCGCTTTAAGTACAGTAAGTGTAATGAGAAGCAACACCTACATTTCCTTTGTTCCCCTCCACCAATTTTTTCTCCATCAACCACTGACAGCTATAGTATTGTTCATGAGTAAAGCCAGCGGCACACGATGCTTGTTTTCGTGCTGGATTGCTTGCTGGATGAAAATACTGCGTTCTGATTGGTACTTTCCCGAAGATGGATGGAAATGCACCAATCAGAACGCTTTTTCGGGTAGTATTTTCATCCAGCAAGCAGTCCAGCACGAAAACAAGCACCGTGTGCCGCTAGCTTTAATCTCGGGGATCGACAGCGTCAGCTGGTTGCGTTCCTTAATCGTGTATCAGTATTAATCAGTATTAAGTGAAACAATACAATAAAGGCGTTCGAATAGGTATTTCGCTTTTAAATACTCAGTACGAAGTTGAGTGAAATATAAAGTTAAATTACGTTATACACAGAATATTGAGAAATATTGAGAAATCTTTTCCATTGCAACATATCACACAAACGTCACTTGTACACACATAGTTCATATAAAGTGCAACATTATATAAATAACATGTTTCAAAAACTTTTCGGGTAGAATCATTCCTTCTCGTGATATTATTATATCGACTTGTATAGTAATAATGGTATATTGGCTACCGAGGAAACGTTTCTTAAAGAGGTATTTGCTCATATTTTATTGAGAAAAAAGTGCATGCGCACACATTTCCCCATAATATGAATTCCTTCCTTAATAAAAAATGACGTTTCTTACCCAGCAAAGAATAACGTTATCTTGAACTTTTTATACTAATACACACATCTTATCATTTTTATATTGCAGATACTAATATTTCACGATTATTTAGAAAGTGTATATTATATATGTATTAAAAGACGCAGGAAATTACTTCTTTTGAGTAAAGAGAGAGGTGATTGAAAAATTTTTAATCTATTGTGTATCATTTACAAGGTAAACTGTATCAATACATATATGCATATGATGTTTATTATAAAAAATCTGATCTATTAAATGATATATTAAAAATATTATTTTATTTTAAGTGATCCTTTTGTCTGTTTATATGTTCTCATTATATGTTATTTTCATACATATATCATTATAATAATATTGTGCTGTTTTTTTATCAAAGAACTTTATATCTAATTTTTATATATAAAAGTTAAAGAAGGAGAAAAAGATATTTTAGAATATTTTAACATATAAGTATTTTTTTGTTGAAAATATACATTAAGAGAAGAAATCAGAATAAGAATAGATCACCATTTTATACACGTCAATATTATTTTTATTTATTTTATTTGTTATGCATTTGATATACATAATGCATTTGTTTAACATAATGACAAAGATTTTTTACAACAAGTCTCTGGACTAACTTTAATCCAAGAAAGGATTTGTGACGAAAAGGTATTATAGACAACCGGTAACTACTAACAATCATGAAGTCAACTTATCTACTATTAGCAGCAGTGCCATTCGCCATCCTTGATATTTGGTACACAGGAATGTAAGTTGCTTTGTTGTAATTGTACTCCTGTGAATATTTCTGTACTAGTTTCATTTTATATTACTATGCATCACAATGTATGGCTTGCAAGCTTCTTTTCAGAATAAATAATACAAAAAATCAGTATTTTTTGTTTTGTTGAATAAGACTCGTGTAAATATCTTCTATAAATTTTTTAATGCATTTGTAAATTCACATATCCTACAGTTTTTTTTTTCATGAATCATTAAATTTATAATAAAAAGTTTATGCAGACCATGGCATAATGATGTAACTAGAACAATACATCATTAAAAAGAAATATTTCATTAATAGTCAATATTTTATCCACAATTTACAAAAATAAGCTTCATATGTTTTATAATAACCTGCTACTTGTCGCAATGTAAAAAATGATCTCAATTTAAAAGAAAAAATATATTCTCTGCTTTAAGACAAGGGGGAACGTTAATTATCTCGACGAGTTTAATTATTCCGACGCTAAACATATGCGGAAAAGACCTGCACGAGTCATGTTTTGTTTATTCATGAATATACTTAATAATCACGTATTTCTCAACCGAAAGCTTTATTATGTTAAATTATGCTGACGATAATTACTGATTAAAAAGTAGTGGCAACTGGACTTTAGAATTGACGTGATTATTAATATCTGATTTTAAAATAAAATGAATGGCGCGAGGCACTACGGTGCCTCTTGATAAAAGTGAAACCATGGAATAGACTCGACGTGTAATAGAAATGTGCTATCATCATATTGCGACACTAATCGAGATAAGGAAATAATTCAGTTTATAAAACGCTGTATTCAAGAAATACTTCATTTGTAAATGACTTATACAAATTATGAATTAGATAAGCAGCTGTTTAATATGAAAAAATATAAATAAATGAAATTTATTATTTTTTGTTTCTCGTAATTTTGTTAAATTTACGATTTAGACAGATTTATATGTCAGTAGTTTTATGTGAGTAAAGTAGATAGAAGATAAAGGTAATCATATATAAAGTAAAGTGTAAATGAGTGAGAGCTAAAAAATATGAAACCGTAACATACAAACTCCATTTGGCAAAAATAAACATAAGTGCTTATATTTAATGAAAGAATATAGTACTTTTTTATGCTTTGTTTGTGAAAAACATGTTGATGACAAATATGTTATAAATATGAAGATATGTTAAACTTACGTTGAGTGTGTCTATGTTATTTCAATAATGTGCAGCATATAAGTTTCCGCTATGAACATAATAAGGTATAATATCATATGACATATAATTTGTTTTGCATACAGTTTATATATGTATACATATATATAATTATATATTATATAATTATATATATATATATATATAGCCATTTTTTAATATATGAGTTTATTTAACATTTACTTTATGTAGTTGAGTTTTCTACTTATATTTATAAGATAAAATTTCTTTTCGATATATGTATATATATCCGTGTGTAGTATATATGTTTAATAATAAAAAAAAGTCTGTTTTGCATGCATTAATTTTTTAATTAATTGTATACAATTCTTATATTTCTTTAGTATTCTTTAGTATTTTGTTATAGCTTGAGACTTTTCTTTTATGAACTGCAATTAATTTTAACCACATTGTTGCTTTATTTCTTCAGCTTATGTATTTTAAAATTGTTTTAGTACACACATGTTAGTCTTATGATTATAATTTTATGAGTAATTCTACTAAAATTAATAGTTAGATAAAAGCTTTTGTCAAATTAACAATTATAATTATATATGTCTGTATAAATATATTACAGATGTTTAATTTGGACCATGAAGATATCTGCAGTAACATACCTCATCTTAGTTGGACTTCTACCTATAATATTTCATTATTCCTATACTATCCAAAAGAAAATATTATTTTTAAATTTTGGTAAGTAATTTAGCTTTTTACATCTAACAGAAAATGATAAACGGTATCACAAATTTATATTAATTGTTAATGTTCTCTATTTCAGTACAATGGCCACTTAAAACAGACTTTTCTGATCCAGGATCAGTAGGATTAGAAGGTGCTAGAAATTTTTATTTACATACTGATCAACAAGTAAAAATAGGCATATGGTGAGTGATTGTAAAAATCTGCTGTAGAACTGTAGAACTTTTTAAATAACAACATTTAATAACAAAATTATATTTTTTATTGTTATATTAGAATATATATTACTAAATATAAAGTGTTATTAAATAAATAAAAATATATAGTGATTAATAATATAGCTAATAGTAAATTAGTAACACATAATAATATAAAGTAATTCATATTCGCAGGCAAATATTACCACGATCTTTATTAAATAATTCCATCCCTGCAACAGACGAAGCTTATGAAAAACTCCTGAGTAATGCCAAGTATCCCGTGTTTCTGTACATGCATGGAAACAGTGGTAATAGAGCAAGTTCACATCGCGTTGAGCTTTATAAACTTTTCCAAGACTTGGATTATCATGTTATATGTTTTGATTATAGAAGTAAGGGTCCAAAAGCCTTTTATTATATTGTACGTTTTTTTTAAATACATTTTAATTGAACTTTTTTGACTATAATTTAGGTTACGGAGATAGTGATGTAGTTGAACTGTCTGAGTTGGGTGTAGTTACAGATAGTAAATATGTTCTTGAGTGGGTATTGAAAAAAGTAAATAGTACAGTGCCAGTTTTCGTTTGGGGTCATTCTTTAGGCACTGGGTGAGTTACTTTATGAAAAAAATAAAAATCTTTGTTAAGTAATAACAATTTATTATATTTACGTAAATTTGGTTTCTTTCAGAGTCTCTACACACGTATTAGCACTGCTAGCAGCTGAGAATATACAACCAACAGGATTATTTCTAGAAGCACCATTTAATAACATAGCTGACGAATTAACAGAACATCCATTTGCACAGGTATTTTTACGGAGGGGAGGATATTTTTTCTATAACGCATAACTTGATTTAATCAACATATGATCGATATATAAAAACTACATTGTTCAATATAAAAATGTTTATTTCATATTTATATATTTTATATATTAGCTATTCAAACATTTACCATGGTTCCATTGGGTGATTGTTGAACCTTTTTATAACAATAATCTGCGATTTGAGTCTGACAAACATATCAGCAAGATTGAATGTCCTATTATGATATTGCATGCTGAAGATGATGGAATAATTCCATTTTTTCTGGCAGAGAAGGTATGACTACGATCTATTATTTACAGCTTTAAGATTATCTTGAGAATCGTTCAAACAAATAATCAACACTCGTGTATTATGTGTTCAGCTCTATCATGCAGCAATTAATAGTTTTGGAAATAATACAGATCGAATCCAAATGATCAAAATAGATTCATCTTACGGACTTGGACATAAATATATTTGTAGGTACAAGGAATTGCCTGATATAATTAAGTAAGTTATTAATATATTATTACAATATAAATGCAATAAATTAATTTTATTATATAGTATAAAAACTTTATATTTAAATTAATATTGAAAAGGTTAACGTTATTATGCGTTTATTATAATATTTATTTTATTCTAGGACATTTGTTGCTAAAACATATAAAAATCTAACTGAATAGTCTGACTAGAAAGAGTTACAAAAACTCAAATTTATATTGTCACAAGAATATCCAGGCTTAATCAGCAACATTTAATTTACATGTAAAAGAGATACATATATTTCTTAAAGATTAAGTAAGATTATGTTACTGAAATTAAAAGAATAGTACATAGTGAAAACATTTTTGTAAACTTATATAAATATTATCTGTTTTTACCATGTAAAATTTCTCATAAATATTTCACATTATTTTTATTAGGATGTATATTTAATGTCATAATGCTGTCAATTGTGTCCAATGAAGAATCTGTGTCTGAATATTTATGCACCGATTTATGATTATGTGTAAAATTTATTTAAATGTATTTTTATATGTGTGATAGTATCATAAAATTGGTATTTTGTATAAGTGGTGCACTCTTCTATAGCAGGAAGAAAAATACCTAAAAATATTGTAACTAATGTTTCTTGTGAAATAAGTGGAAGTCATGTGATAGAAAAGCCAACACTGTGATAACTATTTCAATGTCATGAATTATATTATATTTATTAATTTTATATAATTAGCTCGAAAGACACAGTAACTCATATTAAATAGTTTTTCTGAAGCCACATGGTACTACCACTTTATCTTATGTTGTAAAGTAATGCTCTTTATTGATGTATGATTTTAAGTGTAACAAGAAGTAAATTGCTGATGCCTATATTGTTGTCACATTGGTATTTTGAATGTCACTCATACATATATGTAAAATAAATTTGCAAAATGCAGTATATATATACATATATGTTATTTACCACTTGAGAAGGTTTTTAATAGATATATTAAACACAAAGATACCTTTATTTTGCAATAATATTCATTTATCTAAATTGTTTCTCTTAGAACATTTATTCTGAAACATGATAAAACAGATTTTATTTATTTATTGTTTTAATTATCTAAAAAATGATTTTATTAGTGAATGAAAAATTAGCAAGATTCAACTATTTTCTGCAAAAATAATAGTAATAAAGCAGGTTAGAAAACATTTTACAATTTAAAGTCTTTGATTTTAAGATATATTGTATATATAGTTTATTTATTTTTTATGGTACCATATCAATGTAAATTAATATTTGCTAGAGGTCAAAACTTTTACTGAAATTTTTGGGAATGTAGCGTGTAAATAAAAGTAATTATTACAGTTTAGGGGCTTTACCTCCAATGTTGATAAATGTATATTCAATACGCATAGATGCATTTTTGAATGAAATAAAAGAATTTGGCATAAAAAAGATTGCTCTGCTCTGCAAAGTGAGATATTGGTTGTTAAAGTTGTTGCTACCTAAGTTATGAAACTTGTTATACCAATAATATGTAGCAATATGAACAAGCTACATGCACGTGCAAAAAGTGTGTAAATTCAAAATATACATATATATGTATATATTTATATTGAATTATTGGTGTAATTATATATAATAAAGAACGCCATGCCGATGACCTTGAGCTTCATGTATGTTGTCAAAGGCATTTCCCCGAGTAACTTGCAAAAGGTTTCAATCGGCGGTCATTGTTCATTAAAAAGTTCTTAACAAAAGAAGTTTCATAAATAGAAGTTTATTTTTCTGACACAGTGGCTACGTTTAGCGGAGAAAGCTGCTTTGTAATTGTTGTAAAATTCGTGAATCTGATTCGTGTATGCTGTTGGATTCAGCCAAATTTAAGAATATACGCCAATTAAATTCACGAATTTTACGAAGTTGCGAAGCAGCTTCTTCTGTTAAACATAACCAATGTACATTAAAAAATGTTAAACAGTATACATAAGCGGGGAAGGGCTTCGCCCCTCCTTCTGTACCTTTTCTCTGAAAAAACCTAAAGCCGTTTGCACACAGGACGCAGCAAGTTTGCCGCGCGGCGGAAGTTGGCTGGAGAATATTGTGGTACCATTCAGTATTTTATTTGCTCGGAAATAGTATTTACAAGACATGTGGCATGTGCGACGTTGATTGGCTACTGCGATATATTTTCTAATCACCTTCGGTTTTCTAATCACCATGCTGCACACCAGCCGCGTGCTGCGTCTTGTGTGCAAACGTATCTGAATTAGTTTAAGGCCTACCTTGTATATAACCAACATCAAAATTACTGAAACCGATTTCAGACCAACAGGCCCCTTATACAGTTACTAATGCTCGTTTCTACCAATCTTGATCAACCAGCTGATTATTTAACCATTGATAATTGACCAATCGCATCTGTCGTTAATTTATCGTTAATCAGTTGACAAGTACGATTGGTCAATGCCGATAGAATAATCAGCCGGTTATATAGGCTGCGTTCCAATATTCACTGCCAGCACTGATAATCTATAGTATACGTGACACAAATTACTATATATTTTCAGTGTCGGCAGTGAATATCGGAATATCGGAAACGCGGCCATTAACTACAGTTGATAGGAACAGGCATAAATCAGTTAATTAAACTGAAACTTGGTAAGAATCGGTGATTAATTTAAGCGGCAAATCTGTTAACATAAAAAACAAGATAACTTTTTACAGTTTACACACCTACATCATCAATAAAGTGTAGTGTAAGTAAAGATTATCACCCTGATAGCACATGTTCTCCTGGGGACGTGCTGAGGATGAAGAAACATCCCCAGGACGTCCTCAAGACGTACTCTGGACGTTCTCTGGACATCTGTGCTATTAGGGCAGTTGTGGACAAATCCCAATATACGAAAAACAAGGATAATTGAAGAACAATCACCATGTTATCGACCATGTTTGTTCAAATATTTGAACATTCTAAGCGTAAAATAAAATATTAATTTAACAACTCAAACTAAATTAACTCAGTCATATATATATATATTATATACACAGTCCTACGACCAAGTATATTATACATATTCGTAAAACCGTATTTCAGTTGTTATCTGCGTTGGCTTGACGCAAGGATCACCAAGACAAGAGGTAATTAGACAGCACAGTCCTTCGTATACGCGCAAAAATCCGGCAAGTCCGGCGATCTTGAATCTAACGTCGATATCGGTAACCAGCACGGAGCGAGAGAAGCTGCAAAGACTCCCCCGAGTCCGCCGACGAGCGGGTCAAGCCGCAAGCGGACCTATATTCTTACATGCGGACAATTGCGCGCGCAACGTCGCGCAGCAGACGATGGCTCGTCTTCGGTCGCTCGTGCGCGCGACGGGTGTTGAAAGCATGGCAAGTGGCGGCGGACATGCGTCTCGGTCGTCGCGCGATCCTTCGTAACTGTGTCCGTACTATCGCGGTCACTCGGAGCCCCCCGTGTCCCGCTCGTCGCTGAGTGCTCGCGAGGGGGCCGTCGACATCCGACGAGTACCTCGCCGAGCGAGCGAGCGAGTGAGCGTGTACAAATATCGACCGTCGTGATCATCGGGGCGTCTGCGTTTGTTCCTCGCCGGCCGTTACTCCAGCGACAGCTGAACGTGAGTATCATCACCAGCAACAGTACGACTGCTCTCGTGGCCGTTTCTTCGCGCGAACTTGCTCGTGCGGACCAAGTCTCGCCGCACCCTCGTCGATTCGACGACGCTCGGCACTCCCGCGCTACGGTGAATCCGCGTTCATGGCACGCGCGCAACTTCGCGTGTTCCTACCGCGAGTGACATAACGACCGCTGCTGTGCCTCCGTATAGCACGTGGTCCGACCGGCGCAGCTTGCTCGCCGTTAGTTCGGCCTTCCGGACACTAGGTGGCTACTGCGTTCTATCTTGTACAGTGGTAGTATTATCGAATAATTAGAAATTTTGTGTTAAAAGTACATTACGATTGAGTTTGGATCAATGCCCGAGGTGGCTGTGATTGAGGGTTCATTGTTACGTTCAGTGGTGAGGACTCTTAAGGGATTGAAATCGTAAGTAACGGAGGTGCGTCGCTCCGGTGTTTCTCGATAGTACTTGTGAAGAGGATAGTTCGTATATAAGGACGAGTCGTAGCACTCACTATCGGGTAGTCCGATGCTTCCCGGGAAAAAACCTAACGCATTATGCGGCCTATTTACAGACCACATCATGTCTAGTGCTTCACGTACCGCCAAAACCGCGAGTATCGAATCGATTATTCCTGTTAAAACTTACTGAGGAAGTGACGGTGACTATCTCTTTTGCCAAAATTTGCTTTTTTGCAAAGATGTAATTATTTTTATAAAAACCATTCTGTTTTATTAATTCTTTACTTGCGAAAGGTGTATACACTTTAGTTTGAACTTTCGTTTAGTATATTCATTTCTTATTAAACCGAACGAACGAAACGAAATATATATTGCCGAATACGCCATCGTGTGTATAGCAACGAACAAAATCACGAAATGTGTGTTGTGCTGTTTTATTATTTTTAATAACACAATAAACAAATTATTTGTAAAGAACGTATAAAGCAAATGATTTTTGTATGAAAAATGTTGCAGCTAAAAAATTCATATATATATATATGTGGGTGTGTGTGTATGTGTGTGTGTACGTGTGTAAATTTCGATTGATTTAAATTGTTTAACAAAAATTTATCTGTTTGAAATTTTTATTAAATGTTTTAGTATAATATAGAGCAACAGATTTCTCGAAGTGATTGTGGTAGCACGAGAAGCTTGATATACGATCTACCATAAGATGGTAGATTTATTAACGGAGAGTTGTATTTTGATCCTCATTGAATGATGTATGGTTGAGTAATACATTATTTATAAAACGATCGTAACGCGAGGGGCAAAGTGCAATCGCTTAGCAACAAATGCGCGTTTCGAAAGTCACAAATGATATTTCTTTAGAAAAATCATAAAGAAAACTATACAAACTTAAAAAAGACTCTAAAAACTTAAAAAATAAAATTTTTTTTTTCTATACAAACTTAATTCTCTAACCGTACAATTTGAATTAATTCATGTATACTCAACGTTTCTTTGAGCTTTGCATGTGGATATGTTTGAAAATTATTCCGTAGCAATAATCGCATATGTATAGCAGATGATTATTTTTAAATTTAAACCAGTGGGAAGAATGAATATATTTTATTTTTTACCTATATGTTATACTTTGAAGCTTCAAATTATGTCTGTCACATACACACACACACACACACACACACACACACACATATATATAGATTCATGTAATCAATTTATAAAATTTTCTTAATGTTATTGCTTTTTTTCTTGAACAATTTTCCTACTAATAACTGTATTATTTCGTGCTGAAAGAATGCAGGAAAGAGAAATACAATTTCAGCGTTTCAATCGAAGCCTTTATTGTCGTCCCGGCACATCCGGCGAGATGTGTGATTTCGGTTTCCGAGAAAATATATCGTATCCAAATACGCTTATCGTCGGACACCCGATATATATATTACGTTAGTCATGAATAATCGCTATCGGTGAGCTTCTTTGCTGGTATCTGCCAGTGACGTTGGCATATCATGACAGACGTACCTCGTTAATCTCAAAGTCCAAATTTCAACAGATCTGGAATTGACAAAGGTCGCTTAAAAGAATAACGAGTTTTACAATGTTGTCGTCTAAGATCGTCGGACTGTCGGCCATGGGTTTCATTGCCAAACTGAAAATTTGAATTTCGTGTGGTGGCCAAAGTTACTTTTCCTTTTATTTATTTTTAGCCATTTTTTTGCACGATTGAACTGGCATTGAACTGAGTCTTTTCGAGGGTCCTGGTTTTTCACTCATAATAAAAAACAATCGCGTGAACGGCCGTTTGGTGAGGAGCCGCAACATGCGATATCGCGTGAACGGCAATGAATGTATTAAGCGTATGCAAAGTACATGAAGAATATCGGATCAGTGTATAATTCAGACCGACGATACGCTAGTCACGTTGCGCACTGCATAGCCGAAGGTCTCCGTTTGTTTACTAATAATGCAACTCTACGCGTGAAACTTATACCGAAATACTTTGCATTTTGCAAACCGTGCGAAATTCGTTCAATACGAACTGACTCGTTGCGGAGAAACGAACACTTCAACCTCGGCGAATGTTAGAGCGCGTTCAGCATTCGACAGAATAGTTCATCTTCCGGAAAGTTACCAACGAAGAGAAAACCCGTCGGGAAAGAGAAGCGTCGCGACCTTCTCTTCGGCTGACTACGCGCGGCATTGTATTTTTGTAACTGAAACTACTCGGTCGGCGGGTCATTTTCTCCCGAGTCACGTAGCGTAGACATCGGCGTATCATTGTGTCGTTAAATAGAGAACGAGAACGCTGACATGAACAACAGGTTTCGGGGATAAGATGACAAAAGTCGACATCGTCGATGGCTAATTCGGTGTCGATCACGATACGAGATCGGTCGCGCGCGAATACACGCAACAAGTACGCGGGAAAAAGAAACGTCTCGCCGAGAGACGAGCGAGGGGGGAGCGATGACGAAGTCGGCGGACAGACAGAGAGAGAGAGAGAGAGAGAGCAGACAGGTCGGCCCGGCGGTTCTCTCTCGCATTCCCTCGAGCGAGCGTGCGTGGCGCGCTCACGTCGAATATTCGATTAGCGCGGTGCCGCCGGCAGTTCGTGATAATTTCGTTGTTCCCTCAGGATTTTAGAGCGACGCGTCAGCAGCACCGGCTGTGCCGAAGAGAGGAGGAGGGACAAGCGGCGACAAGCGGCAGCTAGCTGGACGATCGTCCAAGGAGACAAGCGAGCGGTAAAAAGAGGAAAAAAGACGCGGCGAGATCGACACCTGCGAACGGCAGCGCAGCGGCACGTCGCGGTCGGCACGCGTCGTGTCGATCCATGGAGCAGGAGGATCCGAATGGAAATGCGACGACGAGGCAGGACGCGAACAAAAATGCCACGGAGGAGGTCGCGCACAAGCGGGACGCCCAAGCGGAAGAAGACTCCCTGGGAAGTCCGCGTGTGCCGTTAGAGATGGAACAGTCGGAGACCGGTCGGAGAACCAGTATTTTCAAGTATTACTCCTACAAGAATGCAGGTGAGAAAAAGAGAGGGGGAGTGTGGCCGTTCTCAGATTGCGGTGCATTTCGTGCTGAATCGACACACCGACACGGGTGCTGGTGCCGCGTGTGAAATTCTATCGCGTCGCTTTTTCGGAAACACCGATTGAGTCCGGGCGAGACGGAATAATCGCACTGTGTGTTCGTCATCACGTGGAAAGTCATCTCATCTCTTCGGTAAATCCGTCAAATCTGATGTGCAGCAGTGTCTGATCTGTTCGGGTTCAGGTTGAGACTCCCACCTGTCTCCGCCGCGTGGTACGACTCTATGTATACGCGAGTCAAATATTAAATAAGATATAGCGGTGAAGACGCGACAGGTGCGGGGGAGGGAAGAAAGGAAGAAGCTAGAGGACAAAAGTTTGTGCAATATTCTCGACGAAGAGACAACAAATAAGAATATAAGTATCAGCATCTGAGCGTCCTCGCATAAAAGTCACGTCGAGGATCAGCGGCGATATTGCGCATGTCAGGCGGCAACGGACTTGCGTGTCATCGTGAAATGCACCTGATGACATCGTTCACTTGGCGAGCGACTCTTGTTGTTTGAGACGATGTCAGCCGATTATGTATACACCACGTATTAGCGCATATAAGTTGAAGAGAAGTCTGTATCCAAAATTTGCACGAGACCATATTTTCGAAAGACAGAGATCATGTTACCAGGAAACTGGCTGGCGGAGACATGAGGAGTGGCGATCTCTTCAAGCTAGAATAGAAAGTCGACGACGACGACGTCGAAGTGACGAGACAATGACGAGAAAAATTCAGTCAATTCGATAATTCTGATAGTAAATTCGCACTTGGACTTACTGCTGCACTAAGAAAACCGGGGTATTGTTTGTAGTAACTGTAGTAATCAACAAAACACAAGCTGTACACACAAGTTTTTAAAGGGGGCGAACAAATGCAATTTTTGTAAGAAGAAACTTGATATTTTTGTTCTGCATTAATCGATAGTTTTCGCGTAAAGTTAGATTTATAATTATATTTCACATATATAAATTTGCAAATTTCCATGCAAACCGAAGTTCACTCCTCGATCCTAACCAGATTTAAACTAACCTAACCTAACCTAACCTAACCTAACGAAACTAATTATAGGTTAGAAAATGTATGTTTCGAAGTAGTGATAAGAAACTACAGTGGCTGCATTCCGAAATTCACTGTCAGTACTGAAAATACATAGTTTGTGTCACATATACGTATTATAGAATTTCAGTGCTGGCAGTGAATATAGGAACGCAGCCAGTATACATTACGGTCTTTTTTACTGTAGTCTTTTATTTCACGGTTTATTATAGTAAATTATAGCATTTATATGGTAAATTAGAATAATTACGGTAATATTTTATTCGTTTAAAATGCCCATTTTTTAACTTATGATTATTTTCGTTATGTTTGGTTGAATCAAATTTGGTCAGGATGAAGGGCTGAATTTCGGTTTCCATGAAAATTCATTTATATATATATTTATTATATATATATATAAAGTATAATTATAAATTTGGCTTTGCATAAACAAAGACCGGTTGAGAACAAATATATTCGAGTCTTTTTTTATAAAAATCTTCAAAATTTCTGTATATAGGTTTAGATGTATGTAGGTTTTTATAGTTTGTTTTGTTACCTATTAAAAAAAAGTTTACGGTTCTTAGTGCAGTTGTATTCCCTTATCGCTTATCGCTTCAACTAACGGTTATAATAATAATAATTATTATTACTATCGTATTATAATTGTCCCACTTTTCTGCCCCATGCAAGCATTCCACGTATATTTTATGATACCATTGGATAAGTGGCATAACATATTTTTAATATGTTTGTTGTAAAAAGTATACGTATTTATCACCCCACACTTTGTAGTAAAATATCAGCTTGTAATATCGCTGTTTATCCTCCTGCCTAGACAACACGTGGTATATTACCGCATTTTCATGGCATCAGATTGCTTCTTTTATAAGCTGTTTCTTTGTCAAGCCGCTGCTTGTATGAAGACGCATCTCTACGTGTTTATGCTATTATCTCTAATTCAGTCTCTATGCAGACGATATGCCGGATATGTCTATCCGGGGTTAATCGTAGAAACCGGCGGTTTTTAAGATGATTCTAGAAACTGGAGTCGCTCCGTCTGCACGCCGGCTAACTTGATGACGTGGAAACGAACGTCGCGCATACTCGGAATTCTCCAACGACGCATGTTCGTAACACAAGATTTCTCCCAAAAACTGCTTTATATTATATATATATATATATATCGGTGTTCGAAGTCGATGATCAACGATTACGAAGGCCAAATAGCGGCGATATCTTGCGTCGTGACGTGACATTATTCCTCGTCATTTCTCTGGAAATGTAGCGGAAACTCGACTTCCGCGAAAAGTATTACATAAATGGCGACAAGCACGGCGAAGAAGGAGAAGAGCATAGGAAAGTTTCCGATCGGCTTGTGAATGATAGTCGCGCGATATATCGCGACTATTACATTATATTTCTCGAGATAGACGCGAGATATCGCGTTATCCGTTTAATCGTAACCGCTGACTAATGATCTTCGCCGATACGATCGAGGGAGAAATAAGCGCGGTGTGTGTTGATCAACCGGTCGAGATAATGCGCTTCCGCAAATCCGAAGATTCCAAGACGAAGTCTGTGCATTTCTTCTTACTTTATTTCCAAGATTAAAAGCAACTGTTTTTTTTTTTTTTTTATCGATTCCATCACGCTTCGATGCGCGACGATGCAAAATGCTGCAAGTTAAACGCGCACGCAAAGGCGCCGAAAAATCTCCGGCTCGAGGGAACAGTGTCGTTTACGTGATACGAAATTATCAACGGCGACGAACTATCACAAGGGGCGACGATATTAACACACATCTCAGCCTGAACACGAAATTGGCGATAACGTGATGTATACCACGTATGTTACGTTATCGCGAGTTTATTCGGTTATTTCATAAATGCGTAGTGTCGCGACGTGTCGGGAGGAGGAGGAAGAGGAGGAGAATGAAAAAGAGCAGGGGGAGGGGATGGTGAGCCCCCCCGAGGAACGAATGGGGTTCTTGGCATGTTCGGCGTAAACCGCTTTAAGATAGCTGGCACGATGGTTGCGATTCGTGCACAGCTGAGAGATTTGCCGAATTCGTCGGGATTGTGAAAACACGGACACAAGAACGACGAGTGTGCGGCACACGTGTGATACGCGAGAAGAACGCCTCTCTCTCTCTCTCTCTCTCTCTCTCTCTTTCTTTCTCTCTCTCTCTCTCTCTCTCTTTCTTTCTCTCTCTCTCTCTCTCTCTCTCTCTCCCTCTCCCTCTCTCTTTCTGTCCTTCTTTTTTTTATTTTCGTAGATGGGACTAAAACATCAAAGCTTAGCTCCGAGGCTCGAGCGAGCTCGGCGAGGAAAAGTCTACTCGCGACCTCGACCCGACAGAACACGCTGAATTCAGTTTAAAACACGGTATCGAACTCGCGATCCGACATGCATACCGCACGTCTGCCTATTTGAATTATTCAGTATTTTAACCTATTCTACGATGCGACACCGTGCAGCGTACGATACAGAGATTTTTTTCGATCCTCTCTCTTTCTTTCTCTCTGTCCACTTCTCGGTGTGTCGGAGTCTCTTCTTGAGATCTCGGCACAAAGCTGTTCTGTCGCATGCGCGCGAAAGCATCGTTTATCCCGCCGGATTGGATATTAAATGACACTGTGGTGTGCACTCTTCTTTGCAGACACCATGTCGAGCACGGTGAAGAAAACGGGCCCCTCGGTTGGCGTCATCGACGTTGGCACGCGGACTGTTCGCTTTGTGGTAAGATTATCTCGAGCCGGTTGTCCGGATGTCGTTATCGCGGAGGTAGCAATCACAATTTTTCGCGTTTCGAAATGTTTACCAAATTTCGCCGAGATGTTTGCCGTAATTTCGCGATTATCAGCGCGATAAGCGATCGAAAACGGAAAGGCGACTTTTAATGGTCTGTATAATTGGCCGGCAACTTGCCGAATTGGTTGAGCGCTCGGCTGCGGCTCAATTCACGTTTATACGCGGCAATAAACATAGATTACAACTAGGACTACAATCGAGAACAGTAAATAACGATAAACTCTCGGGATTTCCTTGAGATGTGCATTTTTGTAGACTCCAGCTGCAGATACGATTAAAGAATACGAGCGCGTTACTATAGTTGCGCTTCTTCGATTAGAGAATTGAAGATAACGGGTGATCATTTATTTCCCTTGCTGTAAGAAGCGAGAAATGAGCCGCGTTCCGAAAGTCAGAAGAGCCTCTTACAACTCGTCGTTAACGATCGTTATTTCAAGTGGGCAATTGTATTTGCAGGTGTTCAATGCGAAGCACGTTGCGGAGATCGCGTCTCATCAGATCGACATTGAGCAAATCAATCCTAAGGAGGGATGGATGGAGCAGGACCCGAAGGAGATCCTTTTCGCGGTGAAAACCTGCGTCAAGGAGGTAATTCGCAAATTCGACGTGCTTGGGATGAAGATCGACGAGATCGTTACAGTGGGTATTACGAATCAAAGAGAAACTACAATAGCATGGGACGCGAGTACGGGGGATCCACTTTACAATGCCATAGGTAGGTCGAGTTCTATCTCGGTATAGACGGACGTCGCATCGCGCATTCATTCGTCGGAGAGAAAATTAATTTTATCGTAACAAGAAACTAGCCACTCCTCGCCAGAAGCGAGCGCAAATACTTTTCAGCCGTAATATTTCGAGGCTGAGAATATCCCGAGGCTGCTTGAGAATAAAGTAGAATTATATTAATTAGCGGTGTATATATTAATTGGTAGATTCGTGCGTATTCGGGTCACGCGCGCAAGTCCTCGACTGCAGGTTACAGTCCTGAACCTGTTGATTTCAGTGTGGTCCGACATCAGAACCGACTCGATGGTGGACCAAATCATAGCCAAGTTCCCGGACAAGAGCAAGAATCACCTGAAACCCCTCTGCGGTCTGCCTGTGAGCCCGTACTTCTCGGCTTTAAAGATTCGTTGGCTGAAGGAACACGTACCGGCAGTGAAAAAGGCAATTCGCGAGAAGCGATGTAAAGTGGGGACCGTGGATACGTGGATTGTTTGGGTGAGCGACAGAAACACATCGCAGAGCGACACCACGCAGAGGGAGGACTTGATACCGACAACCTTGTACCGCATCGCAGGCTTGGCGTATCGCGATAGGGATTAAGCGTGTCGCTTGATTAGGCTGTTGCTCAATTAGCGCGTTAATTAGTATCTCCTAAGTAACGATCGCTAATTGCCCGATTAACTCCTCGCATTTTGAATGTGTTCGTCATAATCTGAGCGCGAGTAAGCGCGCGCGTGTAGCATCGCGAGTAAATAGGCCTGCCATGTATCACAAGTGGAAGTTACCATTTGATACTTGAGTTAACATTCGAGTTGCGAAATCAGTGTAAACATTCCGGTTATCGGTTTATCCCCCGATGCGCGATATACGTAGCGATAGGAGGAAAACCCTTGCGTGTCTTGCGATAACTAGAGCAGGCGACGGAAAATTGTAATCGAGAAATCATTGCAGAATTTGACGGGAGGCAAGGACGGCGGACTATACATCACCGATGTAACGAATGCGTCGAGGACAATGTTAATGAACATAGAAACTCTCTCTTGGGATCCCACATTATGCAGATATTTCGACATTCCTATGCAAATGTTGCCGGAGATCAGAAGCAGCTCTGAGATATACGGCAAAGTCTCCACCGGTCCGTTGGCCGACATTCCTATATCCGGTGTACGTAAAAGTCCGTTATTTCAACAGCGATAAAAAGGAGGAGGATGGAGGATGAAGTAACGCGCTCTTCCATCGCATCTTTTTTCTCTTTTAGATTTTAGGAAATCAACAATCGGCCTTGGTCGGGCAAAATTGTTTGAAGAAGGGGCAAGCGAAGAATACGTACAGGAGTGGTTGCTTCTTGCTCTGTAACACCGGCCATACCGTAAGCGCAATTTTTATACGTACCATTCTTATACGAACGTAATGTAAGAAATAACATTTTATTGCAGCAGCATATCTTTTTTTTTATTTTGGTAATATCTTTGGTAACTTTTTTTTTTCTTCTCAGAGGGTATACTCTTCTCACGGATTAGTCACGACTGTGGCCTATCAGTTAGGACCGAATAGCCCAGCTGTTTATGCCTTGGAAGGTTCGGTCGCGGTTGCGGGCGCTGCTATCAAGTGGTTACGGGACAATATGAAGCTCATAAAAGACGTTCACGAAAGTGAACATCTGGCGCAAAGCGTTTTCAGTACCGGGGATGTTTACTTCGTGCCAGCTTTCACGGGATTATACGCGCCTTACTGGAGGAAGGATGCGAGGGGGTTAGTGACTTTGTAACAACATAATTCGCAATAGAATAATCATTGCTTGATATCCAAATAACTAAATGAGCATTATCCTGATAAAGTATAACATTAAAAACGTCCCGTTTGACAAAAGAATTTAATAGATTAGTGATTAGTGTTATTTACTATATTATTATTCACGAAATCTTTTGCAATCTTTATTCCAGGATAATTTGTGGACTTACCGCATTCACCACGAAACAACATATTATCAGGGCGTCTCTAGAGGCAGTCTGCTTTCAGACCAGAGATATCCTTGAAGCTATGTACAAAGATTGCGGATTTCCATTAACGAAATTAAATACAGACGGGAAAATGTCGACTAATAATCTTCTTATGCAATTGCAAGCCGACTTATGTGGCACACCAGTGTGTAAGTATACTGGACATGACGATCATATCTCATATTCACAGTAGAAATTGAATCACATCTAATGCAGCAATATTTCATATTGGTCTTTGCTACGTCTCTGGAAATTGTTAATTGTACCTTTGTTTAAACAAACACGCAGTTAGGTCAACTATGCCCGACATTACGGCGTTGGGTGTAGCAATGGCCGCGGGACACGCCGAAGGAATAGACGTTTGGGAATTAGAAGGCGAGGATGTAGAAACAGTGCCAACTGATACTTTTCTTCCGACGACCACACCAGAAGGTATAAACGAGTACAATATTCATTTGGAAGTAAACATTTATTTAAAAAGTGACATAAGTTTCCGAAATAAAAATAATTGACAACAGTCGCGTAATCATGTGCGAGTAGCCCTACATTGGTTCAAATCGATGATGTCTCATCAGCAATCAACTTTCCAAATAAAAAGTTTAGATTTTTTACATTTGATTGTTTTATAAGTTTGAACGAATCTATCCTAATCCAATCTATTTTATATCTTGTAGAAAGAGACGCGAGGTATAAGAAATGGAAAATGGCAGTGGAAAGAAGCCTTGGTTGGGCGGCGATGAAGATGTCCGACCAAATGACAGGTAAATTTAGAAACGCCGAAAAATTGAAGCCTGAGATTCCTGATGTGCCATTGTGCAAATACGTTCGTTTATGCGTTTGTAAATAAAGTAATGTGTATATTTATAACTTGTGTGTGCATGTGTATGTACAATAGACGGAAAAGTAAATGTAGAATTAACTAGAAGTAAACTCCAAAAGGATAAGCAGAAAGGAGTTATGTTCAAAACAACTCTCTTTGGGCTGTTAACAGTTTCCATGTATCTGTTGTGTTGCTGTGTATTCTGCGTAAATGCTTGTTGGTGTGGTACTCTATCTCTCTTTGGTCTCTATAATCTCTATTTGTTATTGTTTCTATGTTTACCTTACTATATGTTTCCTCACCTTATAAATAAATATTGATTTATGTTACTTCCCTCACCTCTTAATGTAGACTAAATTGTTCGACGTTTTAATAATTTTATTATAAACATATGCGTTTGTGTTGTATGTGTACACACACACACATACAGGCGCGCGCACGCGCGCACACACACACATACACATACACACACACACTCTCTATGTATAATTAAATTTATGTAAATATCTTTAGTCGGTTACGCATGCTAGGTTTTATGGAATTCAAAAGAACCTACATATAAGTTTCATGTATATATTATATATATATATACATATAATATATTACATATTACTAATTACATCTATTGTGACAAAAATTACATCATTCTGCAATGTTGGAGAAATCAAACCCAATATTTATAAATTTAACCATATTTCTCTAAATCTATAGAATTAATATTTTGTGTATATGAAAGCATATGCTAAGTATCGCATAGCGATAGATATCGGCAGCTTCGTATTCGTCCATTACACTTTTCGTCATAACAAACGTCACTCTCATCGTCCACTAATCTTGCCATATTACCCTTTACATAATCTTATATGCAATACACACGTTTTTATCGTCTGTTTGATGTTTCAGATGAACGCTACTGCATGCTGGCGTCCATTCCTGCCAGTTGGTTTATAATGTCGAGTTTCATTCTATTACGGTTAAGTCATTACATGGCAAACCGGTGACACCAATTTCACATTATGGAAATGCAGGTGGCTCTAGATGACAGGTAGCCTTTGAATCCTGATGAATACTTAGTAAAATGTTTTACGAAAGCTTGCTCACGTACAATGAGACGAGAAGTGAATAAGTAACAAATATTACAAATTGTCCAAAGATTAAAAGGAATTGTTTCAGCTTAAACGCGTTTTACATATTTCAGCGCGTTGTATTAATGTTATATTCAGTAATCAAAGACGAACATCGTCATATATTATTGCCTATTGAATTTGCAGGTTAATAATTCAGCTATTAAAAAAAAAACATCGTATCTCGTATTGTATCCAGAAAATATCATCCAACGTTCCCAAAATGATATTAAAGATACATGTATACAAATTCAATACTTTGAACACCCTCGTCATGTGAACGAAGCTTCATTTTTTAATCATTATTTATTATAAAAGTCGCATGTAAATTTTCAGCACACATATATCATGCAACATGAAATAAATATTCTCTGTTTTATTCTCTGACTTCGCACAACACGAACCTATCCTGTCTCGTTTCTCCATTTACAACTTGGAATATCTTTTGCTTTATCGTAACCATATACGTACATGTTGGTCGTGTATAAGCGGCAAAAATTAGTTGCCAAAAATATAATCCTATTATGCAAGTTAAAGAAACCACGGTAAGATGTGATTTCCCATTTCTCACGTTTGCGATTTCTATATCGAATAATTATATTCCTCCGGCGAAATCCTCCTCAGATTCGCAGCTGATCTTAATTAATTAATTTACTAGTTAGATAAGTTACTGACACCGAGCGAAAACGACAAAAAAAAAACGCAGGAGCGAGTGCGAGGAACTCGCTTTTTCTTCTTGCGCGCGCCGCATTCGAATCGCGCGCCGGCCAGGCGCGCTCACCGCCGCGCATGCGCCGTACGACGCCACGGCGGCGGGTGCGAGCAACCGGAGACAGCGAGCCACAGCGAGCGAGCAGCCACCACGGCGGCACGCTCACGCTCGGTACCACTCGCACGGTCCGTGTCAGTGTCGTCGATTCGCCGCGAGTTGCGGAGTATTCCGCTGGGCCGTGTCCGTCGGCCGTCGCCCAGTGAGATAATAGGATGCGGTATCGCGCGCGGTTCCGGTGTTACACCCCGTGTCCGCGGCTTCGCGGGTACGTTGTCGGAGCCGCGGCCGCGTCCCGCTGAGATTATGCGCGGTGTGCCGATCTATCGCTCGAGTGTGTGTGCGGGTTAACCTTAAGTATAGCGACAGTGTTCTTTACGCGCGCCTCAGGTAAGGTGAGGTGCAAATAACGAGGGAGAAAGAGAGAGAGAGAGAGAGAGAAAGAGAGAGAGAGAGAGGGAGAAGAAAAGAAAGAGAAAGAGACGAAGAGAGTGTGTGCACGCAGGGAAAACAAGACTAGGAAGAGATCGCATATTACGTACGTACGCACGCACGCACGCACGCACGTACGCACGCAGCAAGCAAGCAAGCGAGCAAGCGAGCGAGCGAGCAAGCAAGCAAGCAAGCAAGCAAGCAAGCAAGCAAGCAAGCAAGCAAGCAAGCAAGCAAGCAAGCAAGCAAGCAAGCAAGCACGCACGCACGCACGCACGAACGCACGCACGCAAGTGAACGAACGAACGAGCGAGCGAGCGAGCGAGCGAGCGGGCGAGAGCGGGCGAGCGGGCGAGCGAGCGAGCGAGCGAACACGCACGCACGTCGCACGCACGCACGCACGCACGCACGCACTCACTCACTCACGCACGCACGCTACGTCAAGATGTCGTCGTCGGGACACAGCAGTCGCACCCGCACTGTCCACATCGGCTCGATCTTTCAAAAGCTACACGGCCGCTTCGCCGACGCGATGACCCCGCCAAAATTGTCGACCGACAAGCGTATGCTAGACAAGACTTGGAAGCTGATGGACAAGGTGGTGAAGCTGTGTCAGCACCAGCGCATGAACTTGAAGAATTCACCACCGTTTATTCTCGACATCCTGCCGGATACGTATCAGCGGCTGAGGCTGATCTACAGCAAGTACGAGGACCGTATGCAGGTGTTGCACAGCAACGAGCACTTCTGCGTGTTCATCAACAATCTGATGCGTAAGTGCAAGCAGGCGATCAAGCTGTTCAAGGAGGGCAAGGATAAGATGTTCGACGAGACGTCCCATTATCGCCGCAATCTTACCAAGCTCAGTCTTGTGTTCAGCCACATGCTGTCCGAGTTGAAGGCCATATTCCCGAACGGGGTGTTCGCCGGCGATCAGTTTCGCATCACCAAGGCCGACGCGGCTGAATTTTGGAAGGAGCGCTTCGGAAACAGGTGAGTGAGTATGTGTGTGTGTGTGTGTGGGTGGATGGATGGATGGATGTGTGTGTGTGCGCGCGCGCGTATGTGTGTATCTGTCTGATGTGTATGTTTGCTTCTTCTGCCATCGCCACGTCGAGGTCACAACGTCTTTCTGCTATGTTGGCGAAAATTACTTTGTTTTGAGGTCTGGTTCCGTGTTTTGAAGTGTCTTGCACTTCTCTTACGGAAGAGTCGGCAATTTTCGACTCCGGTCATTCGACGGAGTCTCGACGATTGAGGATTTTGAGGTTCTCTCGAGGCTCATCGAATGGTTCTCGAGCAACAGTTCTTGTGGAAAGAGAGATGTGAGAAACGCATGACTGACAGAGCTGTCTCCTTCAGACGAGTTTATTTCAGACGAGTCGAACAGATCTTACGCGAATCTTAAGTTTGAGAACTTCGTCGACGAAGGATCGATGAGCAACGAGCGAACTCTTGACACAACTTTAGTTTTTTTTTTTTTATTTTTTAGCGTCAAAGATGTTGAAAACGCTTATTTTTCAGAAGGATTTGTCGCCATTGCGTCTCTAGTCGAGATTTGAAAGAAAGAAAAATCCCAATGCTTCTGGGCGGATTACAATTCATTAGAGGCGCGCGCACACGCGACATTTTCATGTTGACACTTTGCACAGACATTATCGCGGAGAATATTCGGCCCCGAGGCTCTCTCGACGGATTTAAGAGTCTCTACTACGTTCGCTCACAAGTTACATCCTTAGGCTTGAAGAAACGTCTATCGGCTTTCGTGGGAATTCCGAAGTTTTCAGGCTTCGGGGGAAACCCGATGTCGAGTTCCCGCCACAGCTACAACTTCCGTCTTAATATCTTATAAGGGCTGTCAATTTTTATGTAAATTTAAAGATTGTAGGATCAAATTGTTCGTAACTTCTCCACATCGTCGTCGAGCTTCGAAGATGATAGTTCGTCGACTTACGGCTTTGAAAGTTACAAAGACCGAGATTCACTTCCGCCCGAATGCTTTGGCGTAACTTTCAAGCTCGAGAAAATATAGATTCAATTTAACTTCACTCGATATATAATAGATATTTAATTCAGACGCGTTATATATCATATTACACGTGGGCAGGAGTTTCCTGATATATATATCCTATGTACTTCATTATCACAAATGTGTATCAACGAGATGACGATGGCGGTGACGGTGATACTACGACCACACTACGCTTTTGTAAGAGATCGAATAAGATCAACAGTGGAAGATACCGCAGCATTTCGCGCGCCAAGTAAACATATCCACCGGTCAAATATTATATTATTACGCGCTCTCCTTTCGCGTCGAGACCTCCTTCTCCCCTTCCTCTGCTTGTTTTTCATTTTTTCTCCTTTTTTGGCATCCCGTTTCCGACAGATATGTCCGCGGGACACCTGTCCGCCCACACGTAACCATGCTACTCCTCGGACAGCGTGCGTGCGCATAAAAACGAACAATAAAGGCGCGTAAAGCATAGCTCGCACGTGCGCACACCTAACCTAAAATCGTGTATGAAAGAGAAGAGGGGGCACGGCGAGAAGAGACAGGGAGTACCGAGGGAAAGACCAAGAGAGAGAGAGAGAGAGAGAGAGAGAGAGAGCAGCGCGTGAGCGAGCGAGCGAGAGAGCGAGAGAGACGACACCGGACGTCTATCGTTGATATTGACATTATTATCGTGCACCGAAAAGCGGGACGCGTCGGCTCGTGTGCAACCGTGGGCTCTATAGAGAATGCGTTTTATCGACCGGAAGCTCCCCCCTCCCCCCTCCTCCGAGCGCGGCGCGTTCGCCTGCACGTGCGGCGCGCAAGGTGGTAGCGCGTCGAGAATTCGCGCGAGCGCCGAAGCAAGAGGGAAAGAGAGAGAGAGAGCGAGCGAGCGAGCGAGTTTGCTCGGCTTGCTCGAAAGCACGGGGCTCTGTGTCTTTCACTAAAAGCTAAACTTACGCCACGCGTTCCGCGTTAAAAATAAGCCAGGTACGCGTTCGCGCTCAAAATTCGTTCGGTAGAAAGAAGAAGGGGGACAGGCGCGGAAAAACGTGGGAAAGAGAGGAAGAGAGAAAGAGAAACACACACAGGAAATGCAGCGACGGAGAGAACGGTATCTAGAATAGAAGCAACGTCCTAAACGAGCTAAATTGGACTCCGATAGCAAACATCGCGCTCGAATAGGTCGAGTCGAATCGAGTAGATCGCTCGGCGAATAGTAAATAGTTGTCGTCGTTGAATAGGACAGTGACGTAATTCGGGATCGTCTTGGTTTATTCACGCGGACGTTTCGCTCTCTCTCTCTCTCTCTCTCTCTCCCCCCCCCCCCTCGGTCGTATCGAATTTATCCGACGGACTTTTCCTGATCTTCGCACGATCGATCCGCTCCCGATCTCCTCAGCGCAGATATGAAAATACGATATCAAAATGTTATCGTATTTCGCAACTTGGCGACTTTTTCCAATGTTATCTGCATCTGCGGCAGATCGGCACAGAAGTAAAACACCAGGGGAATGCTCCTGTGAAAAGCTTCGTTAAGCTTTCCCGCATCTCTCCTCGATCGTGATCACTTTTCGTGATCGAGAGCACTTTTATTAGCGCGCTGACATTTTTGTCGATAGAGGACAATTGAATTCGCGTCGATGTCGAGGATAATAACTCCTCCTTCCCTCTCTCTCTTCTCCGAAGCGTTTTTTACCGGAAACGAGGGGAAACTTTCGTTGAAAAATCGTCTAATTAAATCATTGATAAAACACACACGACACAGATTACACGGACACGGTCGGCTATGTGGTAGTCGTCCTCTTAGGCGGGTATCTCTCGGTGTCGGTGTACCTAGGAGGAACCAAAAGGAGGCGAGTCTCCGCCGCCGCTACCGCCGCCACCGTGCTCTGACGTCAATCGCGTGTGCTTGACCCGCGACGTCGCGATTTAATGCATTCGGCGGTAATAAACGGAGAATGCTCTATCCGGTTGGACTCGCATTTGCCCGTCGCCGACAAACTGTCGTCGTGCTCACGCATACGCGTGCGCGCACACACACACACACACACACACATACATGCACGCGTGTTGTAACGACAAAAGCTCGCCCCCATATCTTCCCCCGTCGTCGTCGTCGACGCGTCACGTCGTCTCGCGCTGAAACGGTAAACGCACTCTCGGCAACCGCGTGTATATATGCGGAGAACGCGGTGCCGGCGAATAGCAGATATACCGCTGCATTAGCATAAAACAACTTCCGGTGTAACGATTCCGTTCGCTCGCGCGCGCTGCATGTCCAGCCGTATAAATCGCGCGCGTGTCATATTGTCAGTGGCCGAGTGACAAATCGCCGTTGCTCTGTGTATGTGTGTGCGTGCGCGCGCGCGCGCGCACGCTTTTTGTATGCGTGGGTGTGTGCGACCGCCGATCGACGTTTGTTGTCTCACGTTGTCGTCGTCGTCGTTGTTGCTGCATTGACGCGACTATCTGCATACGGATATCCCAAGATAAGCAAGGGAGAACGAGCTTTCGCGTCGCGAGCAGCGTCGAAGCGTTTCCGCGAACGTGAAACACCGCGCCGCGTCACGTCGTAATTCTTCCCCGATAATTCCCCGCCGTCGCTCTTCTTTTTCTACGTTCTTATCGGAGGAGCGATGCGCGCGTGTTATAATTGAGACTCTTGGAGAAGCGCCGTCTGAAGAGAGAAACGTGCCGAATATTCAGCGGCCCGAATATCAAGCCGGAGCGAAACTCGATACTACGCGGATGAGATTCCGCGGGTGGGAGATCTCTTTTGATATTGGTGGGGAGGGGGGGGGAGTTAAAAATGTAACGTGGAATGAATTTATAAAAGCACACACCTGATCTGAGAATCGTCGAAGGGGGGGGAAGCTTCTCGATATATTGAGGTGGACGATAATGAATGATAATCAAACTCGAGTATATCGAGCTCTGTGATTCGATAAGTCGGTCGACAATTTGTACCCCTTTAAATCCCACGAATTTCAGGTGAAATTATCGTTCACGAGTATCTTGCTAGTCGTCTCGGCAATCATTCGCTATCAGTATAGCAAACCGTGATTTCATTCACCGTCAGTTATCTCGGTATCGGCGCGACCGCGCGTTCCCGATCGACGGTTTATCTCTCTCTCTCTCTCTCTCTCTCTCTCTCTCTCTCTCTCTCTCTCTCTCTCTCTCTCTCTCTCTCTCTCTCTCTCTCTCTCTCTCTCTCTCTCTCTCGCTCGATATCTCAAACATGAACTGGAATATATTTTTATGAATCTTCGACGGACTTGTGCGTTACATGTAATCTGCGCTCGAGCGGGGAGGGGGGATTTGTCCCAGAGCGCTGAAGAGAGATGTAAGTCCCAGTAACCGGATGTTCAAGCGTAGGTCGTCACAAAAAGTACAATATATGACATTGAGAATAGTTTCGATATAAATATTTGCATTTACTCGAAATATTTACACAAGTAATGAGGCGCATTAATGTACCAGTGGTCGGACAGTGGGAACAAGTTACAGCCCAATGTTCGGATACAATTTGTCCCAGTGTCTGACCGCAATTAGAAAATTAGTATGTGCTAACGGAAAATAATATAAATATAGATGCTATCTCTTAATGAATTTATTAATTGATTGACCATTATTTCGCCAAACCATAGATGCATAGTTTATTTAGTTAATTTTTACTTTAATACAAAAATATCAAATTGGGTTTATTTCTTTTCTAACTAATCGTCAAACATTGGAGTTTTTTTTTATAATAATTATTACTTTCATCCATTGTTGTTAAAATAAATAGTAAATGTCCTTTTTTTTTTCGAAGTTGGTCGGACGTCGATTGGACGGACTGGGAACGTTTACCTTACGTTTTAAACTTTTCAGGGATACCGGTAGGCATATTGTGTATGTTTAGGTACGTCGAATTTTTCCTCTTTCATTTAAACAAAAATACCACAAACATCACCGTGAATGAAATATTCACCGTAAAATTCCGCAACAGGAGAAG